TGTTACCAAAACAGCCGTAGGCGCGATGTCAGCTTGCGCTCAGCTTGCGGTGCCTGTCGCGGCAAAAGCTATGCACCATTTACAGCTGGATCAAGAACAGTGGCCTCCCCTTTCCTGGCAAAGTATGACAATAAGAAATAGCACAGCCCCCTCCCCCTCGCCCGTGCAGGTGAAAGATGCTGACATTGAAAATCTTCTGTATAGCAACATCACCAACACCAGTGGCCGTGATCCTGTGCTTATCGCGAAATAAACCTGACAGAAAAATACAAGTTTCACGAAACAAGAGTGGTCGAGCAGGTCCGTAGTGTCCTTTTACTTCCACTCGCTGAATTTCAATTGCAAGCCCGTCTTCGAACGTTGAGCAGCACTGTGGGGAGGGGGGCCTTCTGAGCTGTCTTTTTGTACAAAAACGACCTGAAATCATTTCTGCTTCACTGACAACGGCTGCTGTGTGTGGGCTGTCACTTCTCCTTTCATCATGACGACAGCGGAGGGAGTGCGCCAGCCACAGCTGACGTCCCTACCCTGCGTGGCTCCGGTCCAAGCGGCAGGCTCGTCGCGGTCTGCGATGTCCAGACGTTCCTCGGGCAGCCCGTCGAGAGACAACAGACCGGCGTGGCGTGCCGCGCGTCCGATCGCGGGGCGCGGGCAAACACGGCCCCGGCCGGCCGTGTGTGTTCCACATTAGCACCTGGTGTCTAACAGCGCGGAGGGCCGGCCGACCGCCGACTGCGCCGGTGGTCCGGCCGCGCGCGCCCCGACAGTGGCACACGCAGCACGCACACCGGGCTGGAACAGCATACGGGGGCACACGCAGCACGCACACTGGGCTGGACAGCATGCAGGGGCACACGCAGCACGCACACTGGGCTGGACAGCACACGGAGGCACACGCAGCATGCACGCTGGGCTGGACAGTACACGGGGGCACACGCAGCACGCATACTGGGCTGGACAGCACACGGGGTCACACGCAGCACGCACACTGGGCTTGGGAACACGTAGGGGCACAAGCAGTACGCGTGCTGGACTGGACAGCACACAGGGACACACAGACGACACGCATCACGCACTCTGTGCTGGACAGCACACGAGGGAATACGCAGCACGCATACTGGGCTTGGAAACACACGGGGACGAAAGCAGCATGACGATGATGATGATTATGTATTTGCCATAAGATCTACGTGGTGCTTTTTCACTAGGCCCCGTCATGGCAAATAAAACATGCCAGCAACATGGCAAAAGAGCAATCATGTCACGGGCACAGAAGCACACGCACATGAACGGCACATAGTCATACATTGCGAAGGTTCCAAATCCGAGTTTGCTTGACCGCGCGGCAGCATTGCCTGCTTCGCGTGGCGTAGAAAATGCGCCGCGTGCCCCCGGCGCTTGAGAGCCGACGCCAATCTTATTTCATATTTGCGCACCCCGGTAATATAGTCGGTATCCTTCCGCTTCTGTGCGGCATTGCGAAATGGCCCGGCAGACAGCGGACGCGCGCTGAAAACACGGAGCCACGCGGAACCCGTGCACCGGTATCCACATGAGACGCGGGTGGGCGGCACTGAACGGGATCGTGGCAGGGGTGTATGCAAGTGAGAGCCTCAGGGGACATGTGCGCCCTATTATTGTACCAAGTTTTATGCGTGCTAACGATGGGGCTTGACGACTGCGGACTGCAGGCGATACCATGTAATCAACTGATGATATCTGCATTCGTTCATCTCTGCTTGCTGCAATCAAATGTTCCTAACGGCTGGCCTGAGCCGACGTTGATAAAATACTCGGTAGTATTTCCCTTCTTTAACGTTTATCACAATGATATCACAAAATAATGTCCGGTTGTTGTACCACAGCTGTTTCTCATTTGTTACCACGTGTCTTATAATACGTCTTGGAAGGCAATAATAGATGAAGGCGAGAAAACAGGTGTATGCCCAACTGAGCTTAAAACATTTTTGGCAGCATGCCAGACGTTTTGTATGTGGTTGATAACAATCATCTGTCAGATATTATCCCAGCGTTTGACTGTGCGCATTACTCATAAGTTTTTGCCTGGCTGATTATTTGCCATGACAATACGATACCGCCGTAATATTTCAAAACACCCGACTCGACTATACATATTTTTCATTCAAATTGTAATATGGATGCTGAAAATGCATGTTAAGGACATCACGAGGCTCACGAACTCAAGATGCTTTGCCATTTTTAGGTGTGCTTGTGTCAAAGAGGGGACGAAGATTTAAAGTTAAGTTTTTTGGATGATAGATTAACAGTGTTAAAATGAAAATACAGGGTAACCTGTGGCTGTACCTTTTAGTAACCTCTTTGTGAGGAAAGGATCAACCAGGGATGCGGTGTCCCACACAGTTGGAGGACTTCCTTTGGAGAAAAAAGCGGGCCAAATTCGGGATCAAAACTGTTTGTTGACATATTTTTTGATATGTCGCGTCATGTTAACTGATCGATTGAACTTTGCCAGCCTCCCCCCCCCCCCCTCATACTAATTTCGCAAAACAATCCCCTGTGGTAAACTCAGGAGCGAAATACAAAGCCGGAAATATCACGCGACAAAACGACCACGATTTTCCGTGGCAAGCTCATTCGAAAATGGCATGCGCCTCTAATTGCGCGTGGGAGACCGATAAGTTGCAAAACAGCTGCGCTGCTTGCCCTGTAGTAGCAGGAGACATGACTCTGACATCCGTATGTTAGAGGACATAACCCACTTTGAGATCACTGGCCCAGCTAAGCACCGGCGATTCCTCCCACGATGCCATACGCGCTGCACCGTAGCTCAGAGACCGATCGTAAATGTGGGCAGGGCATGCGTTGAGATGTACCGTCGTTGATGTCCGGCCGCGGACAAAATCAGCTGCGGGTGTCAAATGGTCGGTCAGCATGCCCAGTGATGCCTGATTCCCTAATTCCAATTTAAAGACCTCCTCTCATAGCTGCAAAGCACTACGCCAGAGAACACGACTAGCTACAGCCAAAACTTTCTAGCTTGTTCCATTGACTTGCGATAAAAAATACAGATGGCCATTGCACCAAAACCTGTCGGTAGATCATAGATACTACATTTTAGATACCATGGATACTTGACACTACACTATACACACTTCAGTTAAAAGGATTACTATGCTGACATTATCCCACAGTCTCCTACGCTTATGAGCAAAGCTTGCCTTTTTAAAGCTATTCGTGGGCAAAGCTGTCATCACTCTCTCTATTATATCAGAAGCCTGCATATGCCAACATGTTGCAGACATCCAATGCAGCGAAATAATCCACATCTCCTACCCTTGCACCGTAGACGTGGATCAGAGACATCACCTCCACATACAATCACACAGCTCAAAAGCCGTAGCAATTCAATTAGGCGGGGAGTTTGCATGAGATGGAATGAAAGCCGCAGATGCCGGTATCTTGCATGAGTCCTGACCGACGGAGCGCCGATCGTTGTAACGGGTCGGAATGCTGACCGCTGTGCGGCACTCGACCGCAGGCATCAAAGAGTCCCGCTGGCAGGCGGCACCGCTACGGCGGCTCCCGGCCTACCAACGGCTGGCATCAGGGGTCCCGGCAGAGACGCCCGGCCTACCGCCGGCTGGCATCAGGCGGTCCCGTGGGCAGGCAGCACTGCTGCGGGAGACGCCCAGCCTACCGCCAGCTGGCATCAGGCGGTCCCGTGGGCAGGCAGCACCGCTGCAGGGGCGCCCGGCATACCGACGGCTGGCATCGAGTGGCCCCGTGGGCAGGCAGCACCGCTGCAGGGGCGCCCGGCCTACCGACGGCTGGCATTAAAAGGTCCCGCGGGCCGCCGACATTGCCGCAGAGACGCTCGACTTACTGACGGCTGGCGCCGCGGCTGACTTCAACATATTTTCTTAGCCAGCTAGGCGCAGGTACTAATTTGAAGAAGCTAAAGCAGGAAAGTGGGCTGCGCCAACTAAAATACGGGAAGCAGAAGTCATCCAAAGCAAAAATAACCACATAGATCGAATTCTTGCAACTTAATTGGGCACATAACTATGAGCCCAGAGTTCTTTTGCCGAGCTACCGCCCTTTGATACACCAGGATGTATTGGCTAAACGATTCGTTTCACCAGTACATCCTGGTAGATTCAGGGGTGATAACTCTGGATAAGAAATGTGCACTCATGGCAACGAAAAACCAGGAGCTGAAGAACTTCTGTTCTTATATTAGTGAGCACATAACTGCCGTTATAAATGACTACTACGACAAATTACTGCATACGGCTTCAGAAAATAGAAAAATGCACGACAGCAGCGACAGTCCTGCGGTGTGTCGTGCATCCACGCGCAGTTGATGAGCGCAGCAACAGTGTGACGGGAGCGGGTTGGGGGCGTATATCGAACGAACTCATCACCCGGCTGCCAGGCGGACGGCGTCAGCGAGACAGGGGGCACCGATGAACGGCTGGCTCGAACAGCCGGGGCTCCCGACGGGTCATGTCTGGGCAACAGCTGGTCGAGTCACGCCCCTGCCGAGTCATCGGCTGACAAGGAAATGATTGACGAATGACAGCTTCCTAATGATGGTTTCCTTAATTATCCAAACGCACGCTCCCTTTTGTCGCTTACTGCTCGTCTCAAAATGGCCCCGACAATTCGTGAGACGTAAGGCCCTAATAACCTTCAATGTTTATTACAAATTTCCACATCGAAGACTCCACAACAATCTCCTTAGTGTCTGAGGTGTGGCATTGTGTCCTGGAAGCTGGAGAGCGCACTGTCAGATTTGAAATGCCGACGAGGTTGTGTCTGTGGTGATGCCACTGACCACGTCCAGGCCTTGGCCCTGCGCGCAGACAAAACACGAATACCCAATCGTCTAATGGAAGCAGTTACGTTGCTGCTATTCTAAATCCACGTTTTGCATATAGAATTTAGGGATTGTACCGCAACATTCTCGCATTATCAAAGGTGATCTCAAACGACCGTGACCCGCACTCTGCCCTCAGGCGGTGCAAAAGTCACTGAGGATCGAGTGCAAGTGCCACGGCGTATCGGGCTCGTGCAACATCAAAACCTGCTGGCGAAAGCTGCCCGACCTGCTGACCATCGGCCAGCGGCTGCAGCGCAAGTATCGGGCCGCCATCGAGGTGGCCATGCGGCGCGTGGGCTCGCGCTGGCAGATGGCGCCGGCCACCACAGCCATGGGCCGCTTCAGCAAGGATGACCTCATCTACAACGCCAAGAGTCCCGACTACTGCGTCAAAGATACCTCCTTTGGCAGCCTGGGCACCAACGGCAGGTGGGTCCAAATGTGGGAGGGGAAAAAGAATCGCGAAAAAGAGAGACAGTGAGAGGGAAGAGGGACAATAAAAAGGGAGAGAAAGAGAGGGAAAGAGAGAGAGAAAGGAAGGGAGAGAGAGAGAGAAAGGAAGGGAGAGAGAGAGAGAGAGAGAGAGAGAGAGAGAGAGAGAGAGAGAGAGAGAGAGAGAGAGAGAGAGAAGAGAGAGGAGAAGAGAGAGAGAGAGAGATAGAGAGAGAGAAGAGAGAGAGAGAGAGAGAGAGAGAGAGAGAGAGAGAGAGAGAGAGAGGAGAGAGAGAGGAGAGGAGAGAGGAGAGAGAGAGAGAGAGAGAGAGAGAGGAGAGAGAGAGAGAGAGGAGAGAGAGAGAGAGAGAGGGAGAGAGAGAGAGAGAGAGAGAGAGAGAGAGAGAGAGAGAGAAGAGAGAGAGAGAGAGAGAGAGAGAGAGAGAGAGAGAGAGAGAAGAGAAGAGAGAGAGAGAGAAAGAGAGAAGAGAGAGAGAGAGAGAGATGAGAGAGAGAGAAGAGAAGAGAGGAGAGGAGAGAGGAGGAGAGAGAGAGATAGAGAGAGAGAGAGAGAGAGAGAGAGAGAGAGAGGAGAGAAGAGAGAAGGAGAGAGAGAGAGAAGAAAGAGAGAGTAGAGGAGAGAGAGAGAGAGAGCGAGAGAGAGAGAGAGAGAGAAGGAGAGGAAGAAGAGAAGAGAAGAGGAGAGAGATAAGATATAAAGGGATAGGGAAAGAATGAGAGAGAGAGAGAGAGAGAGAGAGAGAGAGAGAAAAAATGGAACAGCGAACGGAGGAGAAACAGTTAGACAGTACAAGTGTGTGCAATATTTTCTAGCTAGGACATCCAAGATGGCTGCCTTCTGCCTGCGTGATCCGCTGAAATTAGCGGAATTCCGTGGAAAATTGTTCAGGCTCGTTACAGCGGCTGAGAGCCATGGGGCCGAATTCAAATTCGTGACAGGCAGATGGAATAGATTCAGAGAAATGCTGAGGGCAGCCGTTATAATGACGAGGGCGCGGGGCGATAATAAAAATGGTGATTATTTCGAGCGTCTGGAGCCGTGTTTGGCACGTGCACGGCACGTCTCGAGGGCGCGACGCTGCCGGCTCCAGCCGACTTTACCTACCAGCCGGCACGGCCAGCCCCTCAGAACGCGGTCCGATCACGGAGGCGACCGCGCCGCTCTCGTCACTTCCAGGAAAACTGGAATTGCTGGCGAGAAAGCACGCGATGGCACGAGAGCCTCGAGTGTGAACCGCACGTGTCGTGATGCGGGCTGCGCTGACGACACGGCAAGAGGCGCGCCGCCACGCCGCGCGCCCGGCCGCCCCTGAGACACGCCTCGGCCGTCAGGTGGTCCCGCGGTCTGCAGCCGCCGGCCAGTGACGTCACGATAGCGGAACTAATGCGTTTCTAATGGGTGACCGATGGCGCGGGCGAGTGATTAGGTCTTCAGAGCGGCGGGCCGCAGCGGGGCCGGCCGCCGCGGGCCGACGCTGCACACTGCAGTGCGTTCCGTGAACCCGGCAGCGGCACCGTCGGCCTCGGTCCAGAACCGCGCGGGTGCCCGCCGCCGGCGGCCGATTGATGCCGCGTCGGGTGCGGTAGAGGCCGGTCGAAACCGAAGTTGTGCCGAGACTCGAGCCGTTTTCGTCCGCCTCACGTGCAGTCGATCTGGGCCCGTCAGCCTCACGCACAACAGGGCCGCCGCCGTCCGTCTCCGGCGCGACCGAGCTCCGGCGCCGACAGCTCGGGGCCCATTAGTGCTGCTAACTGGACCCGGCCGCCGGCACGCTCGGCCTTCTCGTCAGCTTATTCAAATGAAATTACGACCTTGCAGCTGTGGCGAAGGCTGCAGCCGATGGTGGCTAAACGATTCAAGAAATGACAGAAAATTATACCCTGCCAAGACGCTGTTTGCACGCGAGGCATCCGGACACGGATTCGGCGCATCTGCAGGCCCGCAGCGGTGGCTACCTCGCACCGCGCGCCTTCAGATGCGAGAAGCTCGGCCTGGGTATCCAGCTTCGGGGACGGCCGCGGCCAAAAAGGAGGCCATCAGTCGGGTAGTTTGTGTCATAGAATACGTGATATGCGTGAAGCATGGATGCCTTTAATATGGTGCAAATGTTAGTGTCGGAAGAGAAGTCTGATCGACGGCGCCCCCACGTTCGGATTGCGTGACATGAGGCCTATAGACAAAGGAAGCATGAATAGTAGCATAGCAAACCTTCCCGAGTTTCGGTCGCTTAGAACTCAGCAGCACGCTTCGTCAGTAAGTGCAGATCACTAAGATAACGACGCTTCCATTGACCAGCACGGCTACCTGTTCGCTGTTCGCATGCCTCCCTCTGCCCGACTCCTCTTCGTTATCTGTAGTCAGACACGGCCAGGCCGTACATCCGCAAAACTATCCCGTTAAGCACCAGCATGGTGCACTGTGGACATCAATCATACTTGATAACCCCGTTCACGCCACCTTAATGTCCAATCGCATGGGTCGACGACATGTACGTGGCTGCCAGCCCTCTGGTGTAACCCCAGCCGCGTGCGTTGGCGGCGCGGACTCTCCCCGCAGCGGGGAACGTCCGCGCCCAGCCGACCGGCGCGGGCGCCGGTCCGGATCACGGCGACGGCGGCGGCCACTGGTACGACCGATGCGATCGCTTCTGTGGCGGCGGAAGGTGTGGCGCCGTGATGCCCTGACACGAGAAGTGCCCGCTTTGGGAGCTGTAGGCCGGCGTCCGGCCGGGCCGGGAGTCCGCCGCTCGCGGGCGCGCCGCGAACGCTGACAAGCCGGTAAGCCGCGGTCGTGTGCGGCTCAGCGCGGAGTGCAGCGGCCGCATCGGCGAGGCGATGTTTTGACATTATCTCGGGTATTGTTTTACAGCACATCCAGCCTGTCATCATGAAATGATTCAACTTCTTGCATCTAGATAAATAGAAAAGCCGTCGAATGGGATCCCGCGCCCAGTGCCCTGTCAATATTCTTATCCTGAAAATCTGCATTTCATCTAGTCCGGATAAGGTCCAGTTTTTTATTTTGATTTTAATGTTGGGCCAGAAATAAACGCAATTTTCTCGCTTTTGCACAAAATGTCACCGACATAACTCTGGAAATAAGATCACAGATACTGAGCCATCAAGGCCAGAAAGTTAAGATGTTCACCGGTGTACAAATCAGCACTGTGCTCAAAGATGTTAAAAGTTATTTCGGCAAAAACTTAGTGTAGCTCTGATAAAACCCATGATAAGACGAGGATTCCATGCTTTGGAGCAAAAATGCTGCTCACCAGTTTCTTTCATTAATTCAATGTACATTTATCTCACACGGATTTCACTGTTGTACCCAGTATGATGGACGAAATATGTGGGCTCGGCGGAAATTCGAGCTTTCGACCGACTCTGCAACTCCAATTATTTCATGACCGGCCAGGGCAGAAAGGAAAACAGCCTTACTAAGCAGATGGCTGCCCTAAATGCAGTAATCATCGGAGCTAACATCTACTCGCAGCCGATTGTGGATCCGTTTAAACATACCAGCCAGATCGACGGTCAGGACCAGGGCAGCGCGGTTCATCACAGATTCAGGCGGCGCTGTTGCATATACATAAATCATCGCACTGAAATTTGAAGAATTGAACAATGGGCGAGGCAATCATGCAAAAATACCGCCAGCACAGTCACAAGCCGTCACATGGAACAATGTCATGTGAATACGAGACAGTTCTCGTCGTCCCATGCACGGGTATGCATGTATGCATCGTGGGCGCCTGTAGGGGAATGCGGAAAATGTACCAAGCTGTCCGCAACAATTTGTTCATGACCTTCTTAGCTGTGGGCCTATGCCTGTCTTGATAGTGATGAGCTAGCGCAGCCAGTTACAGAGAGTTTTGCGAATGAACGTCTGACTTTGACGGAATCGGGAAGTACGTGGTGCATTTGGCGCGAGTCCAGGAGGACCGATGCATTCAAGCCGCCGTTGCTTCAGATCTCCCTCGAGGAGCAGCTGAGATGAAGACCACCTCTCACCTTGATTCCCACAAGACACCCCAAGCGGAGAAATGTTTGCTGCCGCCTTCAGCGAAGGGCTCCGGTGGGGATATTCCGAATTTTCTCCCATTAGCGGGCAGTTTGTGAGCCACCGCAAAAGCGCAGCGCAAGTGCAGGTGGCTTGGGGTGCCTTTCAAGGCAGGCTTCGAGAGGCCAGCGAATTTACGCTCTCGCCGATCGCCCCATGCTCGCTCAGTCACGTGACTGCCCACCCCATGTCGAGGAGAGCACTGCTATGTACACGTGACTGGACCATTGATGCTCCCGCGAGCTGCAACGCTGAAGGGTCGTATCAGGTTCGGCGAGGCTAACCGAGCGGCCGTTCCCATGAGCGCCTGTATGTGCCCGCTCACCTCGCCCTGTAGACGCTGGGTATAACAGCACAGTTCTGTGTTGCAGGGAATGCAACGCGTCGTCGACTTCCCACGACGGCTGCCAGTCCATGTGCTGTGGCCGCCCCTACAACACCTTCACCGTGGAGAAGATAGAGCGGTGCCAGTGCAAATACGTCTGGTGCTGTTACGTCAAGTGTAAAACATGCAAACGCTGGGTGGACGTCCACGAGTGCACCTGAGCGCAGTCGCCGCTCGCTGCGGCGGCGACGACACGCAGTTCTGGCGGTGACGTGAGAGACCTGGCGGCGGCCCGGCGGACCTGGCTGGTGACGCGGCAGCCGTGCGGTGACCTGCCAGCACCCAGGCCGGTGACCTGGGACTGGTCGCACAGAGGCTCCGACGGCGGCCGCCGGTCCGCGCACCAGACAGTGGGGCGGGACGGCCGGCCGGGGACGCGGGACCGAGTGGCGACCGAGCCGCGACACGGAGCGGCGCCAGTGCCGCCGCCGTCGCCGCCGGCGCGCGGCCGGGCCCGCCTGCCCCGCGCCCGCGTGGTGTGTGTGACGCTGCTGTGACAGGTGTGAGAGCGGCGACGGCCGCGCCTCCTGACTGATGCCTCCATCGCCGGGCGTGTGCCGGCGTGTCGACGACAGCGGATATTGGATGCCCGCAATAAGACGTCTGATTTCACGCACGCTTTAATTCTGCGCTGGCGCACAATGGCGCGGACGGTCCTCGCCGACGGTCGAGCCCGGCCCAAGCCGTTTTTGTGCGGCCGCGGCGCGCTCGGCCCTTTTGTTTGTGCGCCGTTTTTCCTGTCGGTCGCAGACCGCTAGGCCGCGTGAAAAACGCGCCGCCCGGTCCTGGAGCGGCGCCCTTCTGGCGTGTTTTCACGGCCCTGTAATTAGGGGTGGTCAGGGCGGACGAGAATTATATCGGAAATAATGAGTGTTTGTGGCGGCGGGAGGGCGGCCCGGCCGCACGCCGACCCCGGGCCGCCGGTCCGCCGAACCGAGGCCGCCTGCCGGCCGACTCACGCGGCAGGGGCGCGCGGCGAGCGGTCAGTCGGGGCGCGCTGAAGCCGCGGGATCCGTCACTGAGGGGCTCGCCGGGGCGCCGAGCAACAGTTACAGAACTATCTGGGGCGCGAGGTACGTCACAGAGGGACTCACCGGGGCGCCGAGCAACAGTCACAGGACTATCGGGGGCGCGAGGTCCGTCACAGAGGAACTCGTAGGGGGCGCGCGGACCGGTTCAGAGGAACTCACCGGGGCGCAGGGGTCGGCCACAGGGGAGATCACTAGGGCGCATGGACTGGTCGCAAAAGAACTCACTAGGGCGCAGGGGCCGATCAAAAAGCAACTTACCCAAGCGCGAGGTTCGAGCACAGAGAAGCTCTCTAGGGCGCAGAAGATCTGTCACAAGGTAACCCACGAAGGCGGGGGCCTCAGTCACGGAGCAACTCCCTAAGGCACAGAGGATCTGTCACAAGGTAACCCACGAAGGCGGGGGCCTCAGTCACGGAGCAACTCCCTAAGGCACAGAGGATCTGTCACAAGGTAACCCACGAAGGCGGAGGCCTCAGTCACAGAGGAACTTTCTGAACTCTCTGGGGCGCGGAGCATTGGTAGGAGGAACTCACCGGAGCGCGGGGTTCGGTTACAGGCAAACTCACGGGACATGTAGGATCGGCGGCAGAAGCCCGGCCAGAGAGGAACTCACAGGATACAAAGGGTCGGCGGCAGAGGATTGGCCACAAAGAAACTCACTAGGGCGCGGGGATCGGTCACAGAGGAACTCACTGAGCCACATGGGTCGGTCACTGAGGAACTCACTCGGGCGCAGCGGGCCGGTCGCAAAGGAACTCACTGGGGCAGGGAGCATCGGTCGCAGGGACTGGGCCACTCACTGGAGAGGAGCGCAAGGATCCGTCATAGAGATCGAGGTCAGACTCGCAGTGACGACCCGGTACGGAGGATCACTGACACATACAGGGCCAAATTCAGTGACGATGCATGCATGTACGTTTCGTGTACGACGTTGCAGGATTATAGAATCAGCCTGATTATCTTCACATCGATAGGCCATCTTATACCACAAGCAGCAACGCAATGCTCGGAGCATACAATTAATTTAAAAAACAATATTTTTCGCAGAACGGATTATGGCGTTCAATCAGATTGTGTGCAGCTTTCACACAAAAGTTTCATTTCTTCGTAGTCAATCGCACAATCATCTGACTTATTTGCAGCAACACAGTAGGTCCAGCAGGAACCATGTACACGCGACAAACAGATCCTTTTTCACGTCACATAAACTACGTTAATGTTCGTTGTAGACGGATGTAGCACCTTCAAGTCTCAATCACTAACAAAACGATTCGTTCATCATCCGTACGTTAAAGATTGTATAACAATTAATCACCGTAGGCAGGGCGTTTTCGGGATTTCTCAGTATGCGAACAATTCAAGAATTTTCCATTGCAAAAAATAGCGCACCGCAAGCGCGCAACATACCTTGCATGGCGTGTTATCACATGTTATGCTTTCTTTGCACCTATTTCGTCCCGTCTGACCTATATTTGTTAATTGTGAACGATTGGTCGTACGCGGCAACGCAAGCAGAGTGGGGAGGCACAGGGGCACATGCCCCCCCCCCCCCTAGGTTCTGAGGGGTCCGAAGGGTCCTTCGAGACCTACGACTAAGGGTCCAATTTGAGAGCCTGAAGGGCCCGAAAAATCGGCAGGAGGTCGTATTTAGGGGCCCCGGCCCGCAGGGTCGGACACTCCAATGGCAGCCAGGGGGCTCTGTGTGCTGATCAGGGGCCCCTTGAGTCGACAAGGCCCTTTTTTCGGTCAGCCACCACCAGTAGCGCACAGTCGACACCGTGGCCGCACGGACCTGAGGGCCCAATCCCTAAGCAGGGACAAAGCCGGGGCCAGCGGTTTACATTGGTCAGGGCCCCAGCGTCTGTCAGCGCCCAACTGCGCCTAACAACGGTCCTGTGTTGGCAAGGGGGCCCGAGTCGGGCAGAGGCAAAGTTCAAGGAGGCCCGAAGGACCTGGAGAGCCCGCCAGATCCGATGATCAAGGGCCCGATTGGACGGTCTAAGAACTTGAAGCGCTGGTCGGAGTCTTATGCAAGGGGCCCGGCTGAGGGAATGGGCCCTCAAACGACAGCCAGCGGGCCCTTTGCGCCGATCGGGACCCCTCAGTCGATATGGGCCTACATGTCTGTCAGGCACAACCCGCGCCGCACAATCGGCTTGGTGTCGGTATGGGCTAGAGGGCCTACTTCCCAATCAGTAACAAAGCCGGGGCCATTGACTTACACTGGCCGGGGCTCCTTTATCTGCCAGGGGCACACAGCGCTTAATAGAGGGTCCTATGCTCGAAAAGGGCCCTGTGCCGACCAAGGATTGTTCGATGAGGCATGAAAAGGGGTCCAGGCGGCCCAACGGAACCAACTGTCAAAGGCCCGGTTGGAGGGAATAAGGGACCGAAGGACTGACTCTAGGTCACATAAAGGACCGCGGCCCGTAGGGTTGTGACCTTAAATTTCAGCCAGAGGTCCTCTTGCGCCGTTTGAGGATTCCTGAAACCATCCGGGTGCCTAAGTAGGCCAGAGACCACAAACACCGAACAGCTGGCTCCCTATCTGCCTGGACCGTGGGTGCCCATTTCCCAAGCAGAAGCCAGGCCGGGGGCCACGATTTGCATTGGTCTGGGTCCCTGAAACAGTGGTGGCGGCCCTTTGTGGGTCAGAGACCCACAGTGCATAACAAGGGGTCATGTCTCGGCTAATGGCATCTGGTCGGTCACGGGCTTTGTTTGAGGAAGTCCGAAGAAGGGTCGGAGGACCCGTCGGGACCAAAGATCAAGGGCCTGATTAGACTCGGGGCCAGCCCCCACCAGTAGCGCGGTGAGCTGAGATATTAGTCAGAGGGCTTCTATTAGGGCCCTCTTATACGGGTCCTCTATCCCTTTTATATTGCACCTTGGCGAGGAGCGAAATAGTTGGCTCCATGTCCGTCTGAGCCCTTGAGACCCATTTCCCAAGCAGGGACAAAGCCGGACCGCGATTTGCAATGTTCGGGGTCCATGACGCAATGAGGGGCTTCTGTGTCGATCAGGGACTACTGTGGGTAACAGGGGTCCTGTGGCGGCAAGTGGCCCCGAGTCAGCCAGGGGCGGTGTTGGAGGGAGCCCAAAGAGGGGCCGAGGGGCCTCTTGAGACCAAAGATTAGAGACTCGACTGGAAGGCTGGACGGCCCAAAGGGCTGGCTGTAGGTAACATTAAGGAACCCGCCCATCGGGCCGTGATCTCAAATATCAGTAAGAGGGCATCTTGCACCGATTAGCGACCCCTGAGACAGAGCGTTCCTCCGTTTCGGCCGGAGATCACCAACATCGAACAGTCGGATGTCAGTCTGAGCCCTGAGGGCCCATCTCCCAAGCAGGGACGCCGCCGGGCCCGTGATTTACATTGGTGGGACCCCTGCAACGATGCAGGGCTCCTGTATCGGTTAAGGATCCGCAGCGCCAAACAAGGCATTCTATGTTAACAAGGGCCTCAGTTCGCTTTCAGGGAAAGATTTGCCCAACAGGGACGAGGACGGGACCCCAAATGACTGAGGGCTTATTACGTTGGTCGGGGCTCTCCGGCAATGGAAGGAAACATGACAACTTATGAGGTTTGTTCACATTGAGGCCGTGGAAGGGTTCTGTGCCAGGCAGCGTCCCATTACCGAACGGTGGGCCCTCCAGCCCAACTTCAGCATTAGCCCGAAAAGCTGAACCGGAGTCTAGTGCCAATTACTCGACCATCTGCAGAGAGCAGACATGATGTTGCGTCAGTAAGGGCTCCTGCGCCAATCCAAGGTCAACTGCATGGTTCAGAAGGCCTTCCGTGATAGAGATAGGACCAATGTAAAATTATGTATCCCTCTATGGGCCTCCCCCCGTGTCGGCCAGGAGATCCCACCATGTGTCGCCAGAAGAACGGCGGAAAGACACCCCGCGGTAGGACGGAATGGCCCTTCAGCCCTTGACCGGGAACAACAATGGACCCCCTAGTGTTCTACTCCAGAGGGCACCTTTCCCGAAAAGAAATAACCGTTCTATTAGTGTTGAGCAGAGTGGGTCGAAATAAGTTAATAACGAACAAGGCTATTCCACGCGTGTCTGAGACCATTCATTATTTTACACAATTGACTAGTGAAACAAATAACACCAAAAGGTTTGAACCTGCGCACCCGTAATCTCGGAAGCAGACAGCGATGACCGGGGTTGCCGTTTCTGTAAATCCGACCGGCGTTGGCTCCTACATGTCACACTAGGCGACGGGCCCCGTGCGCGTGAGAATGACACTCGTAAATGAATAGTTCCAAACGGCTTTCAAAATTAATTCGTACCATTCCAAGATGGGACTGAATGCATCTTATGTTTACAACTTTGAGGTGTCCTTTGAACAGATCTACAACTATAGCAACACGGTAAATAGAGATCCTACCATTTCCCTTCCACCGCACCGCGGGTCCTAAGCCGTTCAATAGTACTTCTTTCAAATGCGTCCTCATTTTCGCCCACCCGATGGCCACGACTTGGTGCCACGAGGACGCCGCCGCACGGCCTGTGAAGACTGCAACGCCTGGCATCGAGGTTTTGCTGCTAAGATTTACGAGTGCGCACGCTCAAAACTGCGTTGCGTAAGTTGCATCACTAATTAATTCTCACTGAATATTGTACATTACCACACAAACAGGGCTTGGCCATGTTCATTCAACTTATTGACCCACTTCGATCTACTTCGCGGTGTCCGTAAGGAAATGTTCTACAGTTGAAGATGTTGAAGGAAACAGCAGATATGATGAAATAAGCTCACTTAAAGCTGTTGAGACGATTTAAGCAAGACTGCTCTAGACAACACATTTGTTCTGTTTAGTCAATATGCTTCTCAACATGTCACTGTTTGATCATGCCATCGTACCTTGCACAGCATTTAGAGCAAATTGACGGCGATTTTATCTGGAAATCGTGCTCCGCGTTCTGAGGGACTTGCTGCTTCTGTGTGCCGCTGCAGCACCAGCGGAGGCAGCAGGCCGCGCCATGGTGACAGCTGCGCCTCAATAGCCGCACGACAGGGCGCTGTCTTCCTGTTCACAGCGTCTATGAAAACACCGCTGTGTCTCCCGGACACGTGTAATAGTATGCATTCATTTGAACGGTATACACATTACACATACACCACGCGCCTACGCATCGACACACCAAACAGCAGCACACGTGCAGACAAGTGACAATCTCCCTATGTTGAACACGACAGTCACCATCCACTGCCTCGCCCTTCCAGCCGCACCCATCCCGTGAGAGACACCGCGCATGAGAACGTGCCTCTCTGGTCCACCCGTCCGCCGCCCCCGGCGCAAGCCACCCCCACCTGCACGCCGGACGACCCACGCACGGACGCGACACGACCCGGAATAGTACATTCAGCACACACGCCTTATCACAACGTCGCCCCGGGCGTCCCAGCAGCGTCGGAGAGTCGCCCTGGGGCGCCAACCCCATCACTACGGAGCAGCAGCGCCGATACAGGCGCTGGGGTTCCGTGCGCGGCCCAACCTGCCGCCGCCGCCGCCGCCGCTAACTCGGAGCCGGAGCGGCAGCGAACCGACGGCGCGCGTCGATAAAAAATCGGGCAGCCAATTTAGCTGAGGCGCGTGTATAAAAGCCAATGGACCGTTGCATACTTGGGAATGAAAACAAATTAATGCTTTTGAACCAGTGTTAAGTCTTTGGACACAAAATGCCGGTACGCTTGAGTGAGAGAGATGTCACTAAATACGCGATAGATGCCCCAGTTATGGACGACAAAAAGCCGACGGAATGAGACGTTCCGAACCTTGAAGAGAAAGTTCATTCAACGACTCGTTTAGAGAAACAGCACTCTAATAAAAAAAATGCATCGAGTAGTGCGAGGCGTTTAATGATCATTTCAACACCGTGGCATGAGATGGATCACCAAACCCTTCACAGAGACATCACCAGGCCAGAGATGAAGGCGCGCGATGCCGAAACGTGGGACGTCTCTCACAAGAAACATGGATAAACGGCAGACGGCCCCCCAACCCCACCCAGCTGACCGCCAGACCACGTGGAATGCCGGAGGCGCTGACCACACGGACCGCCGTTAGTGCCGCTGTCCCGGCGACCCGCTCAGGTTGTGCGATCCCTCCCAGTCGCACGCCGCGCGCACGAGCTCAGCGGTCTGCGCGCAGGGCACCAGCGAGCGGGACGACTGAGTAGCGACGACACACCTCGGTCGTTCGGTGCGCGCTCGAGACTAAGAGTCCGCCCCACCACACGGGCTGGCGATGTCAGCATTCGCCCGCTCGAGCGTCCACGCTTCGCCGGCGCGGGGAGGCCGCGCACGCGGGTCACCGGAGTGGCGCAGCACTGCACGCGCGGGTCACCGGAGTGGTGCAGCTCTGCACACGCGGGTCACCGGAGGGTACAGCACCGCACCGCGGGGCACCGGAGGGGTGCAGCACCGTACCGCGGGGCACCGGAGGGTACAGCACCGCACCGCGGGGCACCGGAGGGATACAGCACTGCACCGCGGGTCACCGGAGGGGTGCAGCACCGCACCGCAGACGCCGGCGGAGCGCGCCGCTGACTTTAGCACCACCGCACCAGGGAGATCCGTCACGGGCGCTCACCACCAGAGCGGTGAGATCGGCCGGCGCTCACCTCAAGGATCGGCGTCTAAAGCTCACCGCCGTGATCATGTTCTACTGTGGGCGCCGGCGTCGGGGCACCTGGAAAAGGTCCGAGGTGAGATGCTGGCCGTCTGCATAGCGGTTAAGGAAGGCTGCTTAGAAAGGCAGACAGGGAAGGAACACATCAGAGCACCGCGACACAAGTGACGATTTTCATTGGAGGCGTCAGTTCGCCACGTGTTGCGGCGGTTGACATCCGTTCTCATCCTTCAAGGCAAAGGTATTTTCGTAAGAGCACATACAATGACATACACATACCACATACCACGCATGCAATGCACAGCCGAGTAATGAACACCCAATTCAGTGACGGAAACTGGTTTACATGCCCGCATGACATTTTGTTTTGTACACGTGATTTATATGCCCACAAACCCCCTTAACTAATACCGATCACGCGAGCAAAAAAGTTTCGCTTCCAGCGGATCAGTTTCCAAGCCATTGTACAGATCGATCATATCAGACCGTCAAACACGAGACGCTTCCCGCGTGTGCTCGTCCTCGGCTGGATACACCGGCCGCCACCCTCCGCCCGCTGCGGGGAGTCAGAGCCTCCGACGCAGACATCGATGATGCCCACCCACGGCGGCCGTTACAGGTCTGAGAGCGCACCTCGGCCCGGTCAGACGGCCGGTCTGCGTGAGCGCGCGCCCGAGCCGCAGGCGCCTCTCCCGCGGCACCTCGGCGCCGCAAAACTGCCAGTGTGCGTGAGCGCGCGCCCGAGCGGCGGCGCCTCTCCCGCGGCACCTCGGCGCCGCAAAGCGGCCAGTGTGCGTGAGCGCGCGCCCGAGCGGCAGTGCCTCTCCGGCGGCACCTCGGCCCGGTCAGACGGCCGGTCTGCGTGAGCGCGCACCCGGGCCGCAGGCGCCTCTCCCGCGGCACCTCGGCGCCGCAAAACTGCCGGTCTGCGTGAGCGCGCACCCGAGCGGCGGCGCCTCTCCGGCGGCACCTCAGCGCCGTCAGACGGCCGGTCTGCGTGAGCGCGCGCCCGGGCCGCAGGCGCCTCTCCCGGCCGCCGGGCCGGAGCCGCCCGTCGGGGCCCGAGTTGGAGCCGGAGCTGTCGGCGGCGGCGCAAAACCCAGCGGCGGCCGGCCGCGGCACACGACGCTTTCAGGTCGACGCGGCGGCTTAGCGTAATCGGCCGGGTAAAAAGCGGGCGGCGGCGGCGGCTCGCTGTGACAGGCGCGTCAGCGACGCGGCGCCCGCCGTCGGCCGGCCGCCGGCGCCGCTGACGGCTCAGCGGCCGCCCGGCCCGCTGACGTCAGCCGGCCGCTCGGCTGATCCGGCGCCGGCATCGCCTGCCGGCCACTGATCGCCTAGCGCTGCACCGGAACACACTGGTCAGATTCCAACGACGGCCGCTGCTGTGCTGGCCATTTCTCGCGAAGCGGCCATTTCCAATGCTGGATGGCAACGGTGATGGGTCTCATGCACATCCCTGTTTTCCCAGCGATGCCACCTGCGCTACCCGGAAGCCTGGGTGATGCCGTCCGCATGGACTTGCCGACCGATGCCTTTTTTTAACAGCCTGCATCTGCTGGTCGAAACTAGTGCTTAGGGCACGGCGCGTGCTAGGCCGCGCGATGCAATCCTTTCCCCTGTTCCTGGGCAGTTCGTGATAATCGTGGCGGATCTGAAATTCCACATGACGTTACTGGGTGAGCACCGCTGATACCGAGCCAAAATAACGTCCGCACGTGAGCAGATATAGCAGGGTATTGGCGTCCCGGGCCGATTAATACACCCGGAGTGGACAACTGCCAAACACTCATGGAAGAAAACACGCGGCCAAACGGTACGCACACACATCTGCCTAGCCCAACGCAGCACTGGATGACAGCAAACGAGCTCTTCGAGGACGAAAACAGAAGGGGGAGTCATACTATGGCCAGCCCAAACGCCAGCACCGAAACGGTGGCGGGCCGTCCCGCACCCGGCGCGAACATCTGGTACCAGGTCAGCACAGAGCATGAACTACCCGGAATAGCCAAACAAACAGGAAAGGGCGCGGCGAGAATCTGTCCGACATGAAATAAATGCGACAGCGGCGATTGGTCAAACAGCGACCTATCCAACACAAAGCACGGAAGACTGCGACGACCAGCTGGACATTCGGCGCTAACGGCGCAGGCTCGAACGGCATTCGCATCCGACGAAAGGACATGGCTTGCCGAAGATCCGGCCGGCGGAGAAAAACTGGTCTGGCTGGGATGATTGATTGCATCAGGCGTGTGTCCCCGAGCCCCAGGAGCGCCGGCCCTTGGCATGCAAAGCGCACGGCCCGGGCCCGGCCGCCCCGGCGAAGGCCGCGCCCTCTGGCGGCGGCAGCTGTCATCGCTGCAGAGGCGGCGGGACGCGCCGTCGCCTCCTCCGCGTCCGACAGGGGCCACCCCAGACGGCAGACAGACCGCTCCCCGCCGCGCCGTCCGGACCCCGGCGCGGGCGCGGGCTGATCGCCGATCCCCGGGGCCCGGTCTGCCGGCCCGACGGACCGGGCCCCGGATTACCGACCCCCCATCACCACTGACAGGTGATCGGCACGAGCGCAGGACGGCGCAGACGCGGACCTCGGCGACTTTCTAACGTTGTGACTGTTCTAACGGTTAAACACTGCTCTAGCGTGCTAATGTTCACCGCTCGTGTTCGTTCCCAAGAACATTTGGCTGGCAGCTGACGAAAGTGCCCTGCGAGAGCGCACCGCCGCCCAGACACCTCGCCTCACAACAGCGCCGTTTCCAGACAGTTGGCGGCGCCGCGGGCGCAGGGTCGCACCTCTCACCACACACCGCCTCCTCACTTCGGCGGATGGCGGGCGGGCCGACCTGGGCCGAGCACATTCATGAGCATGCGCCCCCGCTGGCGTCAGCTTAAAGGGTCATTACGGCAATCTAACACGGGGCCGGGTCAGCCGTCAGCGGCCGAGCGGCGGCCGACACGAGAAAACACGGACAGACGCGAGCAGGCAACGGTAGACAAGCGGACATACCAACACACGCGAAGACTCGCCACAAGCTGACAGCGAAACACGATTAAGCGTGCTCAAACTCCCCTAGACATGACCACAAGAACTGACCACGACAAGCGCTGACAGAGGAGACATACAGACAGACAGGTGCGGACACGAACCGCACCGCGTCGCCACCAGGGTCGGCCGCCCGTGGGGCGGGTTCCACCTCTGACCTGAGGTCACGGCGCCCGCCCTAGGACCGCGGCCCGGGTCGGCCGGCCAGCCCGCTCCTCCCCACCTGGAGACGAGGCGCTCGCTCGGCCGACTTTCACCGACGCCTGGAACTCCCTGATCTCGTTGTCGTAGTCCGACCACTCCGGCGCTATCCGTACGGCCGCCTTCAGCTTCGCCTCCTTCGTCAGCGGGTTATTGCACTGGAACGAAGCGGGCAAGGCTCTTGGTGACGGATTGTGACGTTGGAGCCGGGAACGCTGACCCGCTGCCAGGTCATGGCAAGACCAGTAAAACATGCAGCGATTCAGGATCGAACGCGGATCCCACTGACTAAAACCGTACACCGCACTAGTTACTCCCCCTCCTCAGTATGCGTATTACCAACAACCACAAAGCTGCACAAACCGAGATAAAACGAGTCATCAGTTCCAATGGTTGTATAAATTAAGACTTGACCACCGAAAATTGCATTACAGGTGATTCCACAATCACTAAGCAGTGTCCACCGTGGAAGCGCTGTTCGCGCACGGTCGTACGCATTCACCAAGTAGTAGAACTCCAAAACGGCGAGGCCCACACCTCACAACTGAGCTGCACTGGCGCTGCAGCCCCACCCCAAGAACGTGTCCAGGAAGCCGGGTCCTTTGGTGAGATTTATCCCGTGTGCCCTTACCAAGGGAGCTCTATCCACCCGACCTGAGCCTGTTGCTCCTGCGCAGGGCCACTATCCATGGACCTGAACCCCCCTCCCCTACCCCCGGACGGAGAGGTGCTGCCCCTATGCGGGACTCCGCGTCCCCTTCGCCGACTCCTGTGCGCGACACAGAGCCTCTGCCAGCCACCGCTGGCCGCCTGCCCCGCGTCCGGCGGCCGTCTCCGCCACCGCCGATTCCCGGCGGCTCGGCCGGACGGGCGGCAGGCGGGCGGCAAGCGGGCGGCTGCATAGCAATGGGCGGCGAGCCGATTCAGCCGTCGGCCCGCCGTCGCGGCGTCAGCGCCGGTCCGCTCGTCGGCGGACGGCGCCGCGGCCGGCCGGCCGGCCGCCGCTCATCCATCGCCGCCCGGCCGCCGGCCGAATCTCGATGAAGCGGCCCCGCGGCTCCGGCGGTGGGGGACCGGCCGGCCGGCGCTCGGCTAGTGCCGACGCGGGGCCAACAGGTGAGGAGGTGAGGCCGACACGCCGGCGCAGCGCTCATGACATGGAGGAGTCCGGACGAGCCGGGGTGGCAGCGCCAGCTGAGACGTCCGGGTGAACCGAGGCAGCACCACGAACTGAGGCAGCGCGGCGAATGGAGAGGTCGCGGTCAGGCACCGTCCCCCCCCCCCGCCCGTCCATGTTTGGGGAAAGACGTGGGAGGTCCTCCACGCGGGGACAGGGGACGCTCCAGAGCCCATGCCTGCGCGACAGGAACGGTGACAGGCGCCGGCTGCTGCATGGACCCTGTGCAAGCGTGCAAGTCAGGAGATGTGCAGTGAGGCATGGTCCGTTTGACCTCATGCGGTGTTTGGGGGAGGCACCGCGGACTACGCCGCGGCAACCGCGACGGACACGAATCACGCCGTCCACCACGGACCGGCGACACTTGGGTCCAGCCCGAGGGGCACGTCGTCACGCTTGGTGGAATCAACGGCCTCCGTTCGCCCGGGCCGGTAACCCGCAGCGGTACATACTTGGCGGCGGACCGCGACCTCCCATTGCCACGCCGGTGAATCAGACAGCATTTCACAAAAACAAGATAATTTGTCTGCGGTGGAATGTGCCTGATACACGCTTGCGCAACACGACTCGCGAATTAGAAATTCTGAGGTTACCGGCTCACCACAGCCAAGACGTGCGGATGATGTGTTTCGGAGAACCGCGCGTGCGCTCAGCGGCAGGCATCCGTTTCCGTGAAGATCGCAACACGATGTAGACGTCAGGGACGTGCGTGGTGCACGATGGGCCAGACACGCGCGAGGGCCACAAAAGCGAGTCCCAAGCCCCAGAGCTGCTTTCGAAAAACACTTGGAAAAGCATCTTGCATCCGCGAAGACCTGTTTCAGAAGCGTGGGGTACATTCCAAACATAGGGAGAACCTAAGGCATGGCTCCTCAAACGTATCCCGACACACGTATCAGCAGCAGCTCATGAGATGTGATGTTGTGGAACTAGATTTGAAATCACGGTATCACTAGCCCTTGTGGGTTGCATGTCATGGTCAGGACACAAGGCAGGCCTGTCACAATCTGTGCAACATCCGGTAGCTCTGAAGCATAAATTTCGGTAACGATCACACCAGCCTTGTCTTGTTCCGGGTGTTCCAGTGTGAAAAAAGAAAAAAAGTGGCTTCCAAAATGGGTCCAGGAAAGCCGCTACAAAATTGTCAAATGTATCCTGGCTACAGAAGTCACTCAATAGAAAAATGACCGAAACAATGAATAGGATTCCCCTTCGACAGCAAATTACGTGGATCTAACATCTCGAAAGACCGCAAAGTTGCTGAATGGATCTGGGATGCCACCAGATGTGGAGCCGAGACTCCACATCAAGATTCACGTCTTAATTTCGCGGATCCGACCGCCGTCCAGAATGGCAGGAACTGGCTCGGCCAGGCGTAAACATCAAGAGACTTCACACGGGATAATGACATCAACATGATTTTCATCCCGGCTAATACCAACAGGACGCCCTGAGCGGCGTGGGACGGGCGAGACGAAACCAGAAGTGAGCGCTGTAACCATGCTGAGAATGCTTGCCCCGGTCGAAAGGAGCCAGACGACCTCGGAAACACGCACACTTGCCAACGCACTGCAATGTCCGCCTCCCATGCTAGTTTGGCAGCTAAACACGCCCACTGTGAAACGCTCTCGCGCTGGTCCACAAGTCGCATTGAACAGAAATCTGCTGCCCACGGGTCTGGAGCGCAGACGCGCGAATGTCCACCGCATGCGGGCATCCACGATTAGTTGCTGCCGCTCGGACCGTATAATGACTTGGCGTCCAGGGCAAGCCTAGGCACAAACTGAAATGTATAGCCAGCATGTTGTAAGGTTCCCTGCCATCATACTGCCGCGTCTCTGTACAGGTCTCTTAACACTCTGGCGGGACTCCGGCAGTGTCATGAAGGTAAGAGCCTTCCGAGTCGACTCATCTGAAAACAGACATTCACAGACTGATGCTATGGGAAAGGGCAGTGGTGATCTTGAGGCGCTCCCTTCTGCTTGCCGTACAGCTAGGTATTGCTACATTCAAATTACATGCTTGTCAGGTACGCACGACAGCCAACTGCACTTGCTTAATCCTAAGCGCTCATGTGCCTAAATGTTCGGGTCTACGGTCCGAAATATTCATAAATATTCATCCGAAACATTCAAATATATACATATATATATATATATATATATATATATATATATATAAAGGCTTAGAAGGCTAAAGCCTAGTTAAGGCTAAAGCTTAGTTATTTTCTAAGCCTTTATATATATATATATATATATATATATATATAAAGGCTTAGAAAATAACGGCCAAAACCAACATCAACGTTCTCGAACAAAATGAACTGCGTGATTGACGCACAATACTCCTTTTTACTCCAATACTCCAATACTTATACTCCAATTAACTCCAATATACTCCATTACTCTTAATACTCCAATACTCTCCAGCAATGTGACGAATAGCATTATACAATTTATTTTGGCGAAATTATATTTCGGGTTATTTTGAATGTGGTCGTCTGGTTACTTTAATCGACGAAATCGATCGATTTGGAAAGATATACGCACCCAGTGACCAAACACTGCAAAAAGTGCGAATGCTTTGGCCGGGTATGCGGCACAGTGCGTTGTGCCAGGTGTGGTTTTCATGGCCTTGCAAAAGAAATGAAATTCGAAGTCGTCATAGAAAAAGGCGACAGTGTTCGTTTCCCGGTTGGATGTTGACAACAACATGCAATCAGTAACGTTGAGATTGCTCGGTCGTGATTTGCAGACTGCGTTCATCTAAATCATGCGGCTGGTGTTACGTCTCAAACTGCCCTGGCTGCCGAGATCTGGCATCAGTCCCTTAAACGGTCTAAAGATGCCCCGATCCCGGTCTGCTATCGAGCGCGTGTGACTGCGTGCACTCAACTCCCGCTCCCTGGTCTGCCCTCGAGCGCGTGTGACCGGGTGCACTCATCTCCCGCTCCCCGGTCTGCTATCGAGCGCCTGTGACTGCATGAGATAACGTATATATATATAATGCATATATGTACATGCATGTATGGAATACATCATAATGTACATACAAATCATAGTGTTTATATGCGTGTAATGTCTGCTACAATGCATATGAACGCATAATGTATTTATATAAATAAACAGATAAGGGTGTCCGACTGCTCAAGTCGAAGTTATAAGTTAATTTCAACATCTACATGACCTATCGCATCGCTCATCAGCAAATATGACGTGTCAAACAAATCCAAATCCGCACTCCAGTTTACAGCACCGGCATACTCGCTTGTTAAAATGCTACCATGCTCCCTGTCCCTGCTAAGTTGCTGCCTCGTTCCGACCGAGAGCCAAAAGAGGCGTACACTCTGGTGGATCCTTGGTACGTGCGTTGCAAATATCGGCCTTGTGGGTTTAATGACCTGAGGAAGGTAATGCTGGGCTAAGGACCATCATACCTGATTATGGCCCTTATGATTATCACCGCTACTGACAGCGCAATCTGACGCTAAGGCATTCAGCCCGTGTGCTTCCCACATCAAAACGTAAGTCAAACTTTACCGAATTAATTATGCATGTTTATAGGCGTAATTATTTCAACATTCCGTATTGAACATTCGTATAACATTTGTAAGCGTGAGCATTCCTGTTTAAAGTAGATATACTGAAATTAACACGACCTTTTGTTGTTTTTCGTCATACAACGGCCTGAGAATTCGCATAGGATCCTTTTGTTTAGACACAGTGATATGACGATAACCAATAAGACAGATGCATAGGCTTCGACCAAAGCTCATTCCAGTTCATGCATAGTTCGTTCGCCGAATCCATCACGTCTTGCTAACCGTAGACAAACGCATACTGGAACCTTACTACCAAAACTATGAACTCTTCCAAAAACATAAATTGGTGAAGCTAGAACGGCCAGGCAGAACATCGCGCAAGAAAACCGGCCGGAGACGAGCATAACTGCACACACAGAGCCTCCAAAAGGACGCGAGCGAGGTCAGACTCGTACCGTTCACAAACCGTCCACGGAAAGGCCCGGTGACCGAGGCAGAAACCGGTGGCTTGCGAGACGACGAGCTTCAGTAATTACCCTAATCCCTGCTAACAAGCGCGGATGGCATACCTCGAACCCGCAAACATTTAGCGGAAAATGCACACCACTTTCGCTGACAAAGCGCACATCGCATTCGCCTCGGCATCAACAAGCTACTTTGTCCGCTGTCAGTAAGCTGGAAGTAACGATTTCGTAACGTCCAAACCGCTGGACTTCAAACAATCTATCAATCACGTATGCGGGTGAGCGGGGCCGACACATAATTTGTGCAAACGAACGCGCCCCAGCAGCGGTAGCAGAGCTGATGCCTCAAGCATGACTGGGACCAGGCGCGACACTAAGTCGACGGACCTCTGGCAACCGTTCGTTCATCCCGATCCATAGCACAACTCACAGAGCGTGGGAAGTGAAATATGTGGTCCAGCACTGGACGGCAGGCCGTCATGCAGTAATAACATGATCGTCTAGTATTAACCCGCTGGTTCTCGGGCCACCCCACCCTCAGATAATTATCAGCTGAATGGCGGGTGTCGACTGATTAATACCCTTAGTCGAGTCTAGATAGCTTGAGCCCGCTGCCAGATAGCTGGATGCCCCATAGAAACATTGGTCATCTGATGATGGTCGGCCGTCGTCCAGGCACTGGAGTAGAATAAGAGCACGGCCACTCATTTGGGCATGTGACGCACTCCAGCGCAAGAAGTATTCCACTGGCTTATTTAGAGTTAACCGCACAAACCAATGGCTATTTTCAGGACGGCTAACGTAAAACGAATCGGTGTCATCACCGCCCCGCCGGCACGACTCGCGGTTCCGCTAGCTGCCGTGCACGAGCGGACCCAGTGACCGCAAACAACGAGGAAATCCCGGACGCGGGCGTCCCCCACACCCGCCGGGCGGCGCTCCCACGGGCCCCCGCACCGACCGCAGCCCGTCCGCGTACCCCCGTAAGCGTACCCTCCCGTAGGCCTACCCTTCTGTCGGCGTACTCGTGCGCGAGGTCCAGGGCTCCACCCACCGCTGACGCCCCCCACCGTCCCCTCCCATCACCCGCTCCGCTGATCCGAGCGTGCGGCCGGCCGTCGCGCCGCACCTTCTAAAGCCGCGCCATACGGGGCCGGCCGTCCGGCCGGCGCCGGGCGCCGCTCACCAGGTCGATGGTCTTGGCGTGCTTCTTGGAGGCGTCGTCGCACCAGGTCTCGCACCAGAGCCACTCCTGCGGCAGCGACTTGATGCGCACCTGGTGGATCATGTTGTTGGGCAGGTCCTGGTCCAAGTTAGACAGGCTGTTGGGGTCCTGCGGCAGAGCGAACGGGCGCTGTTGCTCTTGTTTGGGCGGCTCAGGCGGCACGGCAGCGCCGGCCGGCGGCCGTGAAGACCGCAGGCGCACGGACGGGCCGGGCGAAGCTATCTGATCCGCTGCTCCACCCCGGCCAGGAATGGTGTCGAGTCGAGCGGCCCGACCAAAACAGGCGCCGTGCCCTAATCCCGCGCCGGCGATCGCCACGCCCCCGGCCGTTCTGGCGTCATTCGCATTAGCCGCAAAAGGCCGAGCGGGGCCTGAGCTGGCGGTGCGAGAGAGGCCCGCGGGCACTCCCACAGGGCGCCACACGCCACGCCGAGTCCAGTCATCACTCACAGAAACATCCCAAATTAACAATGGAACTTCGCGTCACTCTGCCAGCAGCGTCATCCAACACACCACCGGCATGGTTGCAAGAATAGCGCGGCGAGTCCAGGCAAAGTAGGAAGTTTCGATCAAGTGACTGGCAATATGCCCCTTCCGTGAACAGCCATAAACCCTGCCTGGAACCGCAACTCAGCGCTAGGAAGAGTGATAGCCGGACACGGCAGTGTGAGGCCGCGTGGTGTATCGCAACTGATGGCCCCACTGACCTGAGGGACCGCAGGGATTCACACCCTGGTCCCCTTCATTGACCTTATAGCTCTCACCACCATCTGACCTCACTGACCTCACAGTCGTGACCTGCCCTCATCTGACCGGGTTCTACTTATGTTGTGTGATATCTGCTACCAACTCTCGTGACCTCAACTGACCTCACTCAGGCCTTAACAATCCCCAATGATTGGGCACCAATCTGGTGACCTCGACCTACCTGACCCTTACTCTGGTGACCTCCAATGACCGGACGCAGACCCTCGTTACCTCCAGTGGCATGGCCCAGACTCTGGTGAATCCTCCCCATTTTTTTCCAAAGATGCATTCGAACGGTTTGCTGGGGTGGCTTAGGGTCCAGATCACTTACCAAGCATATCTTGTTAAAGGCACACTGAACCAACCTTCCAAGCTGTCCTGTTCTGGTGAATCGGACAATTTTGCCACATGGGACTGCGACGAATGTTGCATGCCGTACAATGCTATCACGTGCAAGCCCTCGGCCAGGTAGATTTTCTGTGATTAACTGCCAAATGGCCTTCTTATCAATCGGGCCAAAAATGTGCCCACCCTTGGACGTAAACTCAGTGCCAGTGGATCACGGGGCAGTATATTCCCTCTAAACAATGGGAGGGAGGGGCACAGCGATCTGATTCAGACCCTGTGACCCTCAGCACCCTGGTGACCTCCAATGACCTGAAAAAGACCTTGGTGGCCTTCAGTGACCTAGCTCAAGTACTGCTGACCTCCATTAACCTGACAAAGACCTCGGTGGCCTTCAGTGACCTATTTTAAGTCCTGTTGACCTCTACTGACCTGAAAAAGACCTCGGTGGCCTTCAGTGACCTAGTTCAAATCCTGATGACCTCCACTGACCTAAAACTCTGGTGGCCTTCAGTGACCTAGCTCAAGTCCTGTTGACCTCTACTGACCTGTCAAGGACCTCGGTGGCCTTCAGTGACCTAGCTCAAATCCTGATGACCTCCACTGACCTAATAACCTGGCAGCCTTCAACGGCCTAGCTCAAGTCCTGTTGACCTCTACTGACCTGACAGGGACCTCGGTAGCCTTCAGTGCCCCAGCTCAAATCCTGTTGACCTCTACTGACCTGACTAAGACCCTGGTGGCCTCCAGTGACCTAGCTTAAGTCCTGGTGACCTCCACTGACCTGACTGAGGCCCTGGTGACCTCCACTGACCTGACTAAGACCCTGGTGGCCTCCAGTGACCTAGCTTAAGTCCTGGTGACCTCCACTGACCTGGCTGAGACCCTGGTACTGCCCACGAAGCCGGTCCCCCGCGGCGATCTGGCGGAATTTCTTGAGGTCCACCACGTACAGCGCGCTGATGTGGTAACGGCGACCCTGCAGGTGGCTCCTCCAGTAGCCCTGGTTCCAGAACCTGCCGCGGGCGACAGAAGGTAAGCCAAACCACGTCACAGCGCATCCCGCATAGCGTGTCGCGTGCAGCCAATTCAGTGGCTGCATATCCAGCCAGACCTCAGTCAAATGCATACACCGGGCGTCTCAAGGACAGCATCTGCCTTTACACAGGGAGAGACATTTTACATGTCACAAGATGAAGAATGAATGAAGCTCCAGTAACTGCGATTGGGACCATATTTCAAACACAGCACGCATATGTGGCCCCCACGTGCCACCTCCACTAAAACAATGCAGCGTGTATGCGTGTGGGGGGGGGGGAGGGAAGGGGGGGGGGCAGGTAAATGCCATGATGGCACAGCTGTTGCGGGTGCCCACAGGCACCTCTCACCTGAATCCATCCATCTCCTTCCGGCTGTCGCAGAAGGGCGTGTAGCCGTAGGGTGCGCCCTCCAGGTCCAGGTCGCGCAGCTCCTTCAGGTCGGCCCGCACGATCTGCGCAGCGGCAGCGGAATCCCCGTTACCGTCGCCCGCTACTGACCATTGTTCTCAGTACTGTCAGTGGCTTACGGACGGCGATACGCCCAGTGCCATCATAACGTCGCGCGTCGAAGCTAACCAGAGAGGCTGAGGCATCGTTCCTAGAGCTCGTCACTGATGACAGGTTAGGCAGGCCTGGGATGATCGGTGTCACGGAGGATGGACAGTCGCGGAGGAGTGCGTACCACCGCGTCCCTTACGCCAGCACAGAGCACTCGGTGACAAACGTCCCACATGACATGAAACACACAACTGGTCGCACGGATTTAGACCGCAGAGGACAATGAGGGCCCTTGATGCTCTCGAGAGCCGATCCCGAGCCCCTGCCGGGGGCACTTCACGCCCCCCCCCCCCCCCCCCAGACGGCCCGGTCGGCAGTCCCAGCCCCGACGAACCTGGTCGGCGTCGACGAAGATGATCTTCTTGACGTCAAGCGGGAAGAGCACGTCAAGGAAGAGGATCTTGTAGCCCCAGATGATGCGCTGCTTCTCGGTCTGCTGGTGCAGCCAGCGCGGCCACTTGTACTGCACCAGCTCGAACTCGAAGCCGTAGCGCTGCGCCATCAGCGGCAGCAGGTCCTGCGCCGGGGAGGGGCGTCAGCGCACGGCCGGTCGGGCCGTGAGGAGCCGGCCGGAGCCGGGCTGGACGGGACGTGCGCCGGAACACGGTCACCTTCCGTCGGGCGACGGGGGGACGAGCTGCACAGCTCACATCACAGCCATGCAACGCCGCATCCTCCTATCGCAGTTCACAGGACGCAGCGACATTGGACAAGTGTGGCATAAAGACCAGAGGCGGAAACAGCACACAAACGCATTCGCGAATGTGTACACAGTACGCATATCATGGAGACGTATTTCGTTGACTGGCTGCGAACGTTAGCTGTCCGGCGCATGCGCCAGAGTTCTAAGCTGGATACAAGCGTCAGCAGGTAGCCACAGTCGTCATTCATCTCCGCCGTCCGAGCAACAGCTGAGAGCGAGCCAACGCCACCAGCCGAGGCAGCCGAGGCAGCCGAGCCAGCACGCACCTTAAAAGTGGGCGAGAGGTAGTTCTTGAGGAACCAGAACTTGACGGGCGTTTTGGTATGCCGCAGTACGCCCAGCATCATAATGCGCATGAGCCGTTCGTACAAGTGCCCCGAAGCCAGCGAGAAGATGTTGAGCCTGTCTTCGCCGCCCGAGCTGCCGCCGCCGCCGGCCCCGAACGTGCTGCGAACGGACGGCAGCCTGAGGTGGGAGGAAGAGGGGGGGGGGTGGGGGGCGGTGGCGGGGTGACTGGGCATCGGGCAGGTGGCGGGGGGGGGGGGGGTGAGGGTGAGGCCGGGCGGGGGGTTGGGGGGGGGGGGACGAGACCGAGGGAGGATACCATCAGCGATATCACGGCGATCCACGAGGCGGAACTGAGGTGTGAACGTCCGATGTGGATCGACAGCGCCAGAAGGGCGAGTGTGGTAATGACTTCGCGGGGAACTGCCACAAGTTTCTCTTGTCGACGACAGCACCCGAAACTGCTCAACCGCGACCGACTCACGGGAACGAACAGAAAGATACCGTTGCCCCTTGGTATGATACAAAACGCCCCATGGCGTCATGCAGTAAATCATCCAGCAATGCCTGCTTTTGAGTGCCGTGATGAAACGAACCGGCTCGTGCTCCGTTTTACCAAATGCATTACAAAACAACAATCTGGCAACAGCAGCTTAAACCCATCACGACACCTCTCCCCAATGTCTGTCATGCCACAACACAACAGCGTATGGACTACCGTACAGTATGCAAAGCCGGACTGTATATGCAGGTGTCTAGACCCAGTGTCACTCGGATCCGGTTCACCCATGCACGTGCCCTGCGTCCGCGTGGCCAATTCTCCGGCGATGGCGGCGTGTTTGGTGTGGCTAGGCATGCCTGCCGGTCCTCCCCGTGGGCCGGGGTGCGGTGGGGGCGGGTGAGGGTGGCTACCTGTCCAGCACACCGGCCACCGACGGGTACAGACGGGCCCAGAGCCGGCCGAGGGCGGGGCCCAGCACGGGCGTCTCCCACACCAGCCTGCGTCACCGAACGGCACCGTCAGCCGCCGCCCAGTGGGGCAGCCCACCGTGGTGGCGGCCGCCACACGGACAGTGTAGAGCAGCGGTCCGAGTATGGCGAAGAGTGGCAGATCGGCGGATGGTGACAGGCGGATAGCAGCAGACGGATAGTGACCGGCGGATGGTGACAGGTGGATGTGACAGGTGGATAGTGACAGGCGGATAGTGATGGGCGGATAGTGACAGACAGGCGGATAGTGACAGATAGGTGGATAGCGACAGGCGGATAGTGATAGGCGGACAGTGACAGACAGGCGGGTAGTGACAGATAGGTGGATAGCAACAGGTGGAGAGTGATAGGCAGGCGAAGTGAAAGGCAGAGAGTGACAGGCGGACAGTGCTAATTGCTTTCCGCCATCGTTGTGGATCACGAATCATTCGCCCATTACAAGTCGCTTTTGGTTGGAGCTTCTTACAATAACCAAATTTACCACATCACAAAAACCGATGCCTAGCAAGCAATAATACGTAATGTGCGAATAAAGCACATACAGGCAACATATTCCAATTCTCCTTCATTTTCATGAGAAGTCAGATGGGTGACGCAGGCAGACCTGTCATTCACCGTATATTTACTTAGACGATTTTTGTCTGTGTTCTCGTTGAAAAACTGCGTGATCGTTCCGTGATGACGCGACTGAGTGAGTTTTGAGCCCGCCCCAAGGCAGATGGTCCATGGATAAACCACAGAGGTATCACCGTTTCACACATGTTTCCGAGAAAGACAGCTTCTTGAAGCAGGCCGATGACCACCCTTCTAAAAGTCGTCCCGACTGACAGGACAACGAAGGCAGGCAATGCAGACAGCAGCCTACAGTTCCGCACATCAGCAACGCCCGGTTGCGCCCCGAGTCTCGCCACCGCGTCGTTCCTGGCGCAGGAATCGTAAATAGCAACGCGCGCCCCGCACCGCCGCCAGCCGTCGGCGCGAGACCCATGCGCCTTCACGTCGCCAGGGCGTCTGACCTTTTGATGCTGCCCCAGATGCCGGACGACTCGTCCGTCTCGTCGCTGAGCAGGTCCAGCTGCTCCATGCCCGGCTTCTTGGCCACGCGCAGCTTGACCACGTGCGAGCGGAACGAGGAGATGACCACGCTGACGCCCGAGGCGCGCTCGGGCAGCTCCTGGCCGTCCAGACTGCCGCGGGCGCCAGCACGGCCGTCAGCGAAGCACCGCCGGCACACGCTCCCGGCAGGCGGGCCCGGCCACACACGACAGCAGCAGCGCGAGGTCAGTCCAACGCTGCGCGGACAGGTCGGCCACGATAGCGCTGTCGGACCGTGGCTGTCGGACAACTGCCGAACGACCGCGGCCTGGCAAAGACGACTGTGCTGACTACTCTGCACCGACATGATACCTACGGTGTTGATGGTATCGTTGCCAGCCAGCACGTAACCAGGATATGGCTTCCACGATACCATGCAGCAACGCGACAGTGTCGGGCCGAGGACCCGCTGGGACTGACCTGGGACAACGGCCGCGGGGGGTGGGACCACGGCCCATACCACAGCGACGATGACCTGACCACGGCCCATACCGCAGCGACACTGACCTGACCACGGCACGGACCACAGCGACACTGACCTGACCACGGCACGGACCACGGCGACACTGACCTGACCACGTTACATACCACAGCGACACTGACCTGACCACGACATACACCGCGGCGGCACTGACCAGATCACGTCACAGATCGCGGCGACACTGACCTGATCACGTCACAGATCGCGGCGACACTGACCTAACCACGGCACAGACCGCGGCGACACTGGCCTAACCACGCTACATACCACAGCGACACTGACCTGACCACGGCACAGACCGCGGCGACACTGACCTGATCAGATTGTAAATGTCGGCCGAGCGGCCCTGGCGGAGGCGCAACGTCCAGGCGCCGGGACTGGCCTTCAGCTGGAAGTAGCCGAGGTTGGCCATCACGATCGTGTCGACGACCACCGGGCGGCGGGCCGTGCCTAGGGTCACCTGCAGGCCGCGCGGCGGGCTGCCCGACGACTGCTCGAAACAGTGGCCCTCCAGCAGCAGGTGCTCCAGCTCGAAGTCGCTGCAACAGGCGGCGCCGCACTGACACACGCCATCGAGGGAAGGACCGGACCGGACGACTGCGGCGCCGAGCCGGCGCAGCGGCAGCGCACGCCCCGCAATAGCGCCAGGTCACCAGGTCGCCGCGACAGGAACACGGGCTAGGATGGCCGGGTGCTGCTCAAGCTCCCGCACCAGTTACCCGTATGTGCAAATGGACGCTGCCAATACAGGTAATGTTCCTATTTCGTGTACGCAAGTTGCCAAGCAGCCAACCTCCCTCGCCACTCGCGGGACAGTCCGCGGTCTCGGCAGAGTCCCCTCCCACCTGTGCACGCCGTGCTCCACGTCGTCCAGCTTAATGTTGTCCAGGTCGTACGGCGACACGACCGCCTCCACCATCCAGTTGTCGGGCACGTGGTAGTGCTGTGTCAGGATCGGCTCTCCGGGCACGCCGGCGAAGCGCGCCACGGGACCCTGCAGCTCGCCAGCCGCCGAGAACTGCGGCGCCGGCTCCAGCACCAGCCGGTAGTAGCTGAGGAACGAACGGGGCACTTCAGCAGACCGGACAGAGCGCCGCCGCAGCCAGCTGCTCTGAAGCGACGGCATGCACTACAACAGAATTCAGTGCGACGCATTCTTTTAGCTTCGTGTTGTGACAAATACACGGAAGGGTCGATACACCACAAGAATACACATGATTCTGCACTTTCCTCCAGTGGTGCCTAACGAACACAAGAGGTGCTTTTTTTGTTGTCCGGCCAAGCCCAGACATCAGATCATGGATCGTTCTGATCATCGATCTTTTACTGCAACCATCTTCTGGTCCAAAGGACAGTGACAGCGGTCACATTAAGCTCCCGCACCAGTTACCCGTATGTGCAAATGGACGCTGCCAACACAGGTAACGTTCCTATCTCGCGTACGCAAGTCGCCAAGCAGCCAACCTCCCTCATTCCCATACAAGTCGTCCACCCGCCGCGGCCCCACCAGGGGCTTCCCATGACGCGTCCCCCTCAGCCGTGACGCCCCGCTCGGGCGGCGGGCGGTCCGGCGGCGCACCTCTTCAGCGGCATGTCGCTGTGCTTCTCCTGGGCGTTGAGCACGAGCCGCACGTCGGCGTTGAGCACCTGGTGCAGCACGGCGAGCAGCGGGCCCAGCTGCTGCGCGCCGCGGCTCACCGGGTCACACACGGCCACCAGCTCGAACGCCGGCAGCGACCGGTCGGCCGGCGGCAGACGCACCACACTGGGGGCGCAGGCGGGCAAGCACGCGGTCACACGCGACCATCAGCTCGAAGGCCGGCCGCGACCGGTCGGCCAGCGGCAGACGCACCACACTGGGGGCGCAGGCGGCACGCAAGCGGTCACACGCGGCCATCAGCTCGAACGCAGGCCGAGGCCGGTCGGCCGGCGGCAGGCGCAACACGCTGGGGGCGCAGGCGGCACGCGGTTACACGCGGCCACCAAACCGTGCGCTGCTACCGAAGCGCTGCTGCGCTGTGCAGAGGCGCAGACCGCTACTGTAGTGTAACAGCACCGTGGCTGGATTGAATACGTACAGCTACAATCGACCACCGCGCGTTATCACTGGTGCTACGTAGATTACACGGACAAGTTGACTGCAAGAGCCATATTCGCCCACCTGTACCAGCAGCAGCGGACACATGTGACTCATGAAATTATGCATGGTTCCTGGCCACGGTTGAGCCCAGGTTTAATCTAGAGGCGATTCATCAGGAGACACAGGCATGACAACACAGACCGCGGATGAAGGCTAGCACAGGAATGACGATGGGCGGCCGACAGCCGGCCAGCGCGCACGCGAGGCGCGATACCTGTGCTTGTCCTCCAGCGACGGCATGGTCCATCGCTCCTTCTTGAGCGTGCGCGAGTTGAGCAGAGCCGAGGCCTTCATCATCACATCACTCAGGTCATCTGCAATGTTCGCACAGTTCAGTGGGTGACCCGTGTCGCTCCAACCAATGAAAGGCCCCGTTCTTAGTGATCCCACACGCAGACTGTGTCCGAAGTTCGCGGCTGAAGACCGCAACAGTCCTACTTTCAGTCACCACACTGCCGTTCAAGACAACACGCCAGCCCGGCGATCCTCAACAGCTCCGCGCACAAGGAGTCCGTAGCTCGACCGCTCGCCCTCTTACGACACGCTGCGTGGCCCTGCCGGCCTCCAATTAAACCTGACCCGGCGTGGCTTACTAGGCCCGCCGTCCCCACAGCGTGGCGGCGCCACCCAGCCTCGGCCGGCGCGTCGCCGACTCTCACCGACTGCCATCTCATCCATGACGCGCAGCAGCTTCGTCTCCAGCTGGCCGGCGTAGCTGTTGGAGGTGTACTTCTCGAGCAGGGCGAAGTCGTCCTCGCCGAACGCCTCGCCGGGCTCCAGCGGCCCCACCATCTGGCCGTTGACGACGAGCGCCCGCCGGCCGCCCGGCACGTGCAGCACGCGCCGCACGTACGTGGCCCACAGGTTGAGCGCGTCCGGGCCCAGGGACGCGAGGGCGGACGACAGCGCCGACGCGTCCTCCGCCTGTCGCGAGCAGGCGGCGTTCATAGTCGCTCCTAACTTTTACCATGTGTGCAGCGCCTGCTCCTACAGACCCGCCGGCATCCATTTTACACCACATATGGCGAGCCGCAACTGATTATGGCAAAACTGACAGCACCTTCAAGACCGGCCTAAGCAAACAGAAGTGGAGACAAGATAAAGCGAAACTTAAACGTGCAGACAAGAGTTAATGACATGTCACTCGCGATGCTTCAACCAGCACGCCGCTGTGCACGCCAAGAACAACAACCAAAACACAACTTCCACCCCAGGCAGTACACCCACTCGCGGCGACACCCACCGAGAGGGCCGCCTCCGGCTCCTTCTTGTCCCCGCTGAGCGCCAGCAGGTACTTGATGAGCGTCTCGCCCTGCAGCGCCTGCAGCGCCGCCAGCGCCCGCCGGTTGTGCGAGTTCTCGGCCGAGGGCGAGTGCGGGTTCGGCAGGAACGCCAGCCGCACCTCCCGCGAGCCCTTCTGTCGGCGGCGCGGGCGGCGCGGTAAGGCGGCGCCAGATGCGCACAGGGAGAGGGGCCGACTGGAGCTGACGGCCCGGTGGCTCAGCCGTACGCCGGCCAGTGGCCCAACAGCGGACACGGTCATCGTGACACAAATAATAGCTGGCATTACTGGATTTAAATGGCGTGTTCTTGGTACTGTGTTTGAACAGTTCCCGCATGTGTATATGTTTTGCTGAGTCACGCAAAAAGCGCAGCCAGCACAATTAAAAAATGTACAAAGGGCGCGTAACACGAAAAGCACAGAGATTCAGCACACTTCGTGGAGGCGACAAACCAACCAACAGCCCACAGGCGGGACGCTGCCATTCATGGTAGGTGCCTCCCACGTGCGGGACATGCCATCAGTCGGCGTGCGCGGCTGACGACAGCAGCCGGGCACACTTACCACCTGCAGCACGGCCTCCTGCATCAGCTGGCGGCCCTCGGCCGACTCCAGGTCGGCGGCCAGCCAGTAGGTGAGCGGCCGCATCCGGACGGAGGCCGGCCGGCTGACGTACTTCAGCCGGCCGCCGACAGAGGCGCTCATGTCGCGCGGCGTCAGCCGGCTGAACTCGGCCGCGTCCTCGGTCGACCGCGGCTCCCCGGAGAAGTCCACCAGCCGCTTCTCCGACTTCAGAATGCGGTCGTTCAGTCTGCGGACGCGCCACAGAGTGGTGCTGCGTGGGACGCGCGCCGGTGGCGGGGCGGGTGTCGCGCAGCTGGTCTACCGCGCGGGCTGTGCGCCGCAGGGCGCTCGTGCGTCGACTGAGCGCAGCTGCTTCGCGGGAGCAGGCGCGGTAGCGAGTGGGCTGCACGGGAAAAGCCACAGCACGGATCCAGAAGAGAAAGTTTGGACATGTGGCCATCAGGAGAAATGCACGACTGAATGCTGCAGGCTCTCAACACGGACCCGGTCTTAAGAGACTACGGCAGAAGTGCGTGGTCAATGGCCAGCAGGTTTTATCCGCGAAGGCAGCACCACCGCACTACAGTGGGCCGTACCTGCGCACGGCGGCTCTGACCTGGGCATGACGTTTGGCTGGGACACGATCCATTCGGCCACATCATCGCCGTCGGTCAGCTCCTGCCTGTAGACGGCCTTGGTGAACTGGTGCAACGCCTTCATCAGCTCCTGCAGCGCCGCCTCCTCCACCGTGTCGGCCGAGATCGAGCGCACGGGCAGCGGCGCACCGTTAAACAGCACCTGACACACGGAGATTACCAGTCACCGACTCACGCACTGATACTGGATCGGCATGTAGCGCATTCGCTTAGCTTCTCGGGCATTACAGCTGACTAAAAACCCGGATACTGTGCAGAGATCAGCAGCGCTTCACTCACTCCCCCAGGGCCTTCCCCAGGGCCTCACTGGGGAGGCGCTGGCACGCAGGCAGCAACAGGCACCGTCATCTAGACTTCACGCACCTGAACAAAAGCACTGTAATGATCCGATACTTGAGGCGCTGTTCTTCTCATTCACGTATCTGGACATCTCTCCTCGCACTCTTCCGTACCTGCGGCGCCTGCCCTCACACTCCTTCGCACCTGCGGCGCCTGCCCTCACACACCTCCGTACCTGCGACGCCTACCCTCACACTTCTCCGTACCTGCGGCGCCTGCCCTCCCATATTCCCCCATACCTGCGGCACCTACCCACACACACGCTCCTCCGTACCTGCGGCGCCTTCCCTCGCACTCCTCAGTACCTGCGGCGCCTGTCCTCACACTCCTCCGTACCTGCGGCGCCTGCCCTCACACTTCTCCGTACCTGCGGCGCCTGCCCTCCCATACTTCCCCCATACCTACGGCGCCTACCCACACACACACACTCCGCCGTACCTGCGGCGCCTTCCCTCGCACTCCTCCGCACCTGCGGCGCCTGCCCCCACACTCCTCCGCACCTGCGGCGCCTGCCCTCACACTCCTCCGTACCTGCGGCGCCTGCCCTCACACTCCTCCGTACCTGCGGCGCCTGCCCTCCCATATTCCCCCATACCTACGGCGCCTACCCACACACACACACTCCTCCGTACCTGCGGCGCCTTCCCTCGCACTCCTCCGTACCTGCGGCGCCTGCCCTCACACTCCTCCGTACCTGCGGCGCCTGCCCTCACGCTCCTTCGTACCTGCGGCGCCTTCCCTCACACTTCTCCGTACCTGCGGCGCCTGCCCTCACAGTCCTCCGTACCTGCGGCGCCTGCCCTCCCATATTCCCCCATACCTGCGGCGCCTAGCCACACACACACTCCTCCGTACCTGCGGCAGACACTCCTCCGTACCTGTGGCGTACCTGCGACGCCTGCTCTCACACTCCTCCGTATCTGCGGCGCCTGGCCTCACACTCCTCCGTACCTGCGGCGCCAGCCCTCCCACTCCTCTGTACCTGCGGCGCCTACCCTCACACACACTCCTCCGTACCTGCGGCGCCTGCCGGCGCCGAGCCGCGTCACGTAGTCACGAGCCAGCGTCCGGCCGGCGTCGTAGTCCGACATCTCGCCGAGCACGTCCGCCACGTCGGCGGCCGGGTACAGCTTCCCCAGCGTGCGCTTCACGTCCTCCACGCTCACGTCACCGCCCGATGAGGCTGCGTGAACCTGGCGGCGGGGCGTGGGCAGGCGTCACGGGCGCCGGGACCATCAGCGCCATCTAGTATCGGAGTTGTTAACTATGCGGTGGGAGAGCAGGGCGAGATCAACTGGTGGTTCCCTTGAAGTCTGCACCTTTACTTAATCTAGAGGCCCCAGGTCACATAATATAAGCCTGGACAGTAAACAAGCTAAAACGGAAGGTGGCCAAAGAAGCCATTTCGCCTGTACTGACTCACCTGAACTATGCTAAACACAGCAAGCTGAGCACGGGGATGGCTTGCAGTGACCAGCCCCCCAGTGTATGACCAGACACTGCTGATAACGATCTGTGTATAGCATGCGATATGCTAGAGTGATCGCAGCCAAGGCCCAAAGAGCATCAACGATATCGATGTATTTGCTGCAGTGCAAGCTGTGTCGGCTTTTGGACCTCCCTCGCCACCAGCCAGCCCACCGCGCCGAGGGCCCAGCAAGTCCCCTCGCCACCCCGTTACACGGCGCTCACGTCGACGAGGAAGCTGAGCGCCTTGAAGGGAGCGCGCGGCGCCTTCTCTTCGCGCAGCACGTAGTTGAAGGCCTCGGCCATGGCGACACCGGCGTCTTGCAGACCGGTGACGTCCGGGTCGGGGGTCACGGCCAGCACCAGGCCCAGCGTGAACGGCATCTGGTTGGTGAAGAGCGACTGCGCCAGCGTCAGCAGGTCCAGCGACGAGCGCCGGCTGGGGTCCAGCACCAGCACCTGAGGGGGGGGGGGGGGACAGAGTTCAGCGCAGCCCGACTGCCGCCAGGGGGCGGGGTGTCACGTGTACCGCGGTCTGCCCTCTGCAAGTCCTGACCGATGGTGTGGCAGCCTGTGAGCACGATCACACGGCTTCAGCACAACTTGGACTGGAGTTTACAGACCAGCATAGTCGGGAGCAAGCCCAACCGCTATCGTCATTCATTCAAAGGTTTCTCTATGGCGTCACTCCACGTTTCAATCCTTTGAACCACAGCCTCAGACCCAGCCCCGGCCTCATACCTAGTCGCAGCTCCGGTCCCAGTCCCTGATCTAACCCCAGCTACAGCCCATCCCGGTCCCGGCTTCTGCCGCAGTCCCAGTCCCAGCTTCAGCCCTAGCTCCAGCTCATGCTCCAGCTCGTCCCAGCCCCAGCTGCAACCCTGGTCCCAGCTCCGGCCCCAGCAGTCCCAGTCCCAGCTCCAGCTATAGTTCCCGCCCTAGCCCCAGTCCAAGCCCCAGCCCAGCTTCAGCTTCAGCTCCAGCCCAGCCCAACCCAGCCCAGCCCAGCCCAGCCCAGCCCAGCTCCAGCTCTAGCCCAGCCCAGCCCAGCCCAGCCCAGCCCAGCCCAGCCCAGCCCAGCCCAGCCCAGCCCAGCCCCAGCCTAGCCCGGTGCCCAGGGTGGGCCTGCCCTCCCCTGCACCCACCAGGTGGTACATGTTCTTGCGGACCGTGCGCAGCATGCCCGGGTAGGTGGGCCGCAGCAGCTCCGTCACGTGCGACGGCCACTTGGCGTACTGCCGGTCACGCTCGATGTCGTTGATCCAGTTGACGGCCGTGTCGCGGAAGTCGACGGCGAAGCCCTCCGAGGCCGCGGTCAGATCCAGCCGCAGCAGGTCGTCGAAAGCAGACTTGGGGATGCCTGACGTAAGGGGAGGCGTTAGGTCCCAGCGCGTCGTCAAAACGTTCTATGACCGACGGAAGAATGTCTGGAGTCAGACACGAGGTAAGTTTCAGTCAGGCTATCACACCATACACCTGAGCTTCTGGAGACTCGCAACACAGACCTGAACCTCACCAAAGCTAGCCCACGTGTCCCGAGTGGACTTACCAAGATGAAATAGGCCTTCCATGACCTTCTGCTCCTCGCGCAGATGCTCGAACAGTGTGAAGATGTCCGTGGTTTCCATGTCGAAGAACATGCCGTTGGCGAATAGGGCCGAATCGGCGTATTCTAGGTTAAGCGACTTGGTATATCAGGTTATGGTTGTTCTTAATTTCGGTCTTCAGAGCTTTCTCCACTTTGGTCTTGATTAGGGTTCTAGGCCTGAAATAACAGAAGAACGTCCTCAACCTAAGGCTTGCAGCCCATAGGGTATGTGAAATACTTCTGATTTTGTGCTGGAGTTCAGTCTAACCATTCGTCGTGTTCTCACTCCTATTGCAAGGCGATTATTGGGGGGATAAATAAAGTGAAGGTGAAAGGGCTCAGGGCAAATCATTACTGACGACACCAGGCATCCAACAGTCACATAGGTCGAAGATCACAATCGTATTCAAGCAAATTCAAATCACAATTCATTCAAACAGAGGCAACACACACTTCACGAACAAAATTTAATTCGATGGGTACAAGCCAACATGTTTACGCATAATTAAATAGAAATAGAAGTGAGTAGGACTAAGCTCAAAGTCAAAGTAAACAAAAAAAAAAAACTAAGCGCGCTGTGCGGGACGAACACAAATAACAGTCGACTGCGCCTGGGGCAAAACATGGAATACAATGAGCGAACACCAGACACTCATTTCCGAAAAAAACGAGCTGATAAAAAATCAGGTCTCAAAACACGGCACTGGCCAACGGCGGGGATGCGCGGGCGCCTCCAACACTAACCATAGAGGGGAAGTTCTGCGCCAGGCCGGTCATCAGGCGCAGCGCCTCCTCGGGCGGCGCCTGGGCCACGCGCTGCGCCGCCTGCAGACTGAGGTCCTGCAGCTGCCACACCTTCAGCGGCGCCATGTCGGCACTTGACGCCACCAGATGACGCTGGAAGGCGCTCAGGTTGGCCGACAGCTCCGGGTGCAGCTCCCTGGCGGCGGCCGGCGGCGGGTAGGGAGTGGTCCGCGCGTGCCGTGTGTGAGGTGGGCAGCACACACCAGACTGCCACCGACGGCGCATAGGGGAGCAGGGGCGCTGGCGGAAGTCCGGGGATCACTCGAAAGCCGACCAGCTTCGCGCAGTCGCGGCCATCTACCAGCCATCGCCACCAACAGCCGCCGTGATCGAGGGCAAGGATTAACCGACATTCACCTCGCCAACCACCCAGCCAGGGCAAGACTTCCTCCAGACAGTGGCCAAGCCAAACGGAGCCTTGCGCGGCCATTCAAACCAGACGACAGACCGTCAGACAACTCATTCACAGCTGTTACGCTCGCTTGAACAGTCAGGTGGCGAAGTACACAGGAAGGCCAGACAGCATGGAGGGTCAGAAAACAGCAACCCACGGCAGCCAGAAGAAATGGTACGCGGCCGTCAAATCCGCTCCCGCCCACCTCAGCCGCGAGAAGACGAATCCCTCGACGTCGTCGTGCTGGTCCTGTAGCTCGGCGTCGCCCGAGCCCTCGTCCTTGACCTTGGTGTCGTCCTGCGCCTTGTACTCGGTCGACTTGATGGCCAGCTCCACGCCGTAGCCGGACAGACGCACTTTGGAAGCCGCCGGCTCCTGGAAAGGGGGGAGTGAGGGGTCACCGACGCAGAGGTCAGCCCCTCCCCCCGGCATCAGCGCATCGGTCAGCCCCCCCCCCCCCCCCCGTCAGCAGGGGCTGTCAGGGGCGAAAAAATGCAGCAGCGGAAATGCCGAGTTATCCTCGAATGTCTCCCAGTGTATGCTTCGCGTGTGATTCGCATATGAAGACCCATGTCTGCCCAACAGAAGCGGCAGCTCACGGGCTGACGCAATGAACTGAACGGACATTCCACAATAAGCAACTAAGCAGCTGTCCAGCCACAACCAACACCTCTAAGAACAATGGATGTAAACCATTTCTGTAAACCGGCAGTTCGACAGAGGCGCACCGACCTTGACACACTGCCGCAGCACGTAGTCGATCCGTTTCGCCTCGGCCAGCGTCTTCAGCTCCCGGTGCAGGCGGCAGAGTGGCTCCGTGCCCAGCTCGCCGTACAGGATGGCCGTGGCTGGCGCCGGGCCCTCCTTGTAGTGATGGTCGACGGGGTACGTCTCGGGCGGCGGCTGGCTGGCGGCGGCCGCGGCCGCCTCCGCCAGCTCGCCGGCCCCGCACAGCAGCCGCTCGCCCAGCTGGACGAACGCGGCGCAGTCGGGCCGCTCCAGCTGGGAGGCCAGCTGCTGCGACAGCGCCGCGCGCGGCGAGTGGCGGCGCAGCGACAGCGAGAGCCGCAGCAGGCCCAGCTGGGCCTCGCTGAGGTAGCGGCCGGCCAGCGTCAGCAGCCGCTCGTAGCGCTGGCGGTCCGACAGCGCTGCCGAAGGCCAGGCGCTGGTTAGACCACAGAGGACTCGGGGGTTGCCGCGGCACAGCGACATCCGCAGGCACGGAAGTCCAAGGCACCATATGGCGCAGGGTGGCTAAGACAGCATAAAAGAACAGATGACACAGCCAGCCAGATGGCATGTGGCCAGATGGCACAGGGAGATCAGATGGTGTAAGGGGGTCATGGTGGCAGAACAGAGTCAGCAGGCACTGAGCAGTCAGGCATCAGAGGGCATGGGGAAGTCAGACAGCACAGGAAGTCAAGCAACAGAGGATGACAGAAAGGGGAAATGGGACATACTTGCCAAACAGCACAGGAGTGGAGTGGACAGGGGGGATGACAACAACTGCACAAGGTCTGACAGTGAGGGGACAGGATGGTCTGCAGGCAAGGCCATTTGATGTCACTGCCAGCCTGATGGTCTGGTGCTCTGGCCACAGAGAGTTCAGGAGAGTGGATTGGTTCTTCCACTCCTTTTCACTGCATCCATCCATTCATTGACAAACACAGCCAAGTCTAGACATAATGGTATGCCAGAAAATGTATTGTGAAAGGGTGGCATTGACTGGTCTCCTGGTTATCAAACCATAATAGAAAATCATAACTTGCTTAGCTGACCAAATGCTTTGCAAAAGGCACCACCAGTCCAGCAGATATGACTCATCAGCATGGAGCTGAGAATGATGATTTGAACTGCATGGCCTACAGTGTTAGTGTGGTTTTACATATGAACTCCCATTGCTCCAGTGCTGCTAGCATCACAAAGACAATGTTACAGCCTTAAAGATGTGCAATGGCACAACATCACCATATCATCACCCCTATCCTGGCCTTGTAAAACCAACCCATGGACATAGCTGACAGCTAGATATGGCAGATGCAACACAATTGCACTTGATAAGATAGAGGGGATCACACAGGAGCAATAAAAGGAATGGCAGACACTCTACAAAAGTTAAGTGAACTGATTAAAGATCACATAAGTTATCTTACACTGCACATGTTCAAGTGTTCTTTCACACCCTTCTTTAAAGAGTGTACATTAAGTGTACATGCAGTCCCCTCAAAGCACCTTCTGGTGCTTCTGTTCAAACATTGACTTACCTGCATCAAACTGATTTGAGCAAGTCTCATCCACAAAGTCCCAGAAGTATTCACTGTTCTCTTCGCTCAAATACTCGCTGACCTCGTGAATAAGGGGTGTTTGCTTCCATTTGGCATCTAGATTGGTTGTCACATACTTGTTCCGAATATTCTGCTCAGCTTTTGCGCAGGCACACAGCACAGCACAGGACCAAACCAAGGTCCAAATCATATTGCTGAAAGACAGGTTTGAAATGACCACCAAATGAAGAAGTCAGTGATATCTGATGGCAAAAGCTTAAGTGAACACACAGCAGGTAGATAGATGCAGATGTAAAGATGTATAGCATGTGTTACAGCTACAGTTAGGCCGTGCAGTCTGTGAATACGGGTCAAGTGGTCAAAGCATGACATACTAAGTATGTCATGCCGGACAGTACACCAGTCACAGATATTATCGAACAACCTATGAAGCAGCAATCTGTGAATCTGAATTGATATCAATGGCTTAGCCACCACCAACAGCATAAATACACCACTCAACACCCAACACACTGCTGCTGGAAAAATGAACATTACAATGCACAGGGATCCATACACCCTCTGGTTTTGACTGAGGTCATGCAGAGTGACTTCTTCTGCCAGGTCTGCCAATGAGCAGGTTGAGCATGACCAAATGCTGAGAGTTGCTGATTGGCACAAGTCATGATGCCTAAAAGTGGTGAGCATCCTAATAATAAGCTATGAAACAGTTTAACAGCCAAATGCCCATTATGAATCCCACACTTTGGCACATCCTGGCCCCAAAAATGTGTGACAAAGGGCAGGCAAAAGGAGTATTGGGTGTGGGTATATCCCACCATAGCCAGTCATCTCTTTGAATCCTTTAGACTAAAATGACTTGCACTTGCCAAAGGTGGTTTGATGACACAAATAAATGAGTCAGTTCTTGGAGCTTTCCTCTGCAGCAAATTCTGGGCAGGTACAAAAAATACAGGCACCAGCTAACAGTCTATATTGCCAACCAACACAGTAGTCCACAGAATTGGTATCTGCAGGTCTTGGCTATTAAACAAATATACAATAAGTATGCAAGCAGTCATGGAGCAGTTCCTTTGAACAACACCATCACCATCGATCTAATGAATGCAGCAATATAGCAGCAATAAATCACACACGCAAACAGATGAAGTAAGTGCTTCACATCATCTTACTGCGCAGAAAGTAACATAGATTATTGACACAGAATCCGATGGTGCAATCATAAAAGTATGCCGACTTGGGGGGGGGGGGTTAGGGCATATCGGCTGCTGTAGGTCATGCAGCGCCGATTTAAAACGCTCTACACCAGCCAGAAAGTAGCTACTTACGTCAATAAATGATCAAGTACAGACACAGAATCCACGGAATATGAAGACAAATGCTGTGAACTAAGGCCTATGTGTATCCCACCCCATAAGCCCCCCGACCGGCTGGTCAGGCATTAATCCTTCAGCACTGCCACATCAACATACCCAAATACACTGCAATTTATGTTCACGAAACAAGAGCGCCATTTATGTAAATATATCAAAAAGGCCGGCCAATCAGAGAGAAGAACGTACGAAGGGCACGATGTACGGCTATTTGTAAATCTTGCTTTCATGTGTCGTGCTGCCTGCATTCATATGGATTTAGTTTTACCAGATGTCGTCAGGTTTTGCTGAGACTTGGAAAGAACGACACACATATTCGACAAGCACGAAACCTAGACATTCAATTGGATTTAGGTACGAGAAAAAGGTATGTACAAATGTTACAAAGAACTTTAAGTAACAAAACTCATAGCTTAAGTAGGAATGGGTGTTGTCAAAAAAACTCAAATTTAATTTTGAAACAAAATTTTAACGAGCTTTTAGAAATGTTTGACAATGCCATTCTTGTGATGGGCCTGACTCGCTTCAACAGCCTGCAACGGTTTCCGATTTGGCTGTCCCTTTACTTTACATGGATCTGTAATCTGGCTGCAGACGTAGCATGCATAAATGGCTAACTGGAGACAATACACACGGACAACGCGACGTGATGGGCCAGTGTTGTCAGTGCTGCTCGGGGTCCTATGCATGTTGACTGGATAGCGTGGTGTGAGGAGTTAAACGCGTGAATGTCTAGTGATGGTGTCGACTTTTTAATTTAGGTATGATTGTCTCCAGTGAGCTCTGGCCTGCTGTACCATAGGCAATAGCACTATGGTATGCATACCGTGTCTAATCGCCATTTTGCAGTTGCAGCAATATCCCTCTGGCTGGTGGCAAGCTAAAACATGCTATGGTGTATGCAGCATTCAAAGATTTATCCAGCAGTGTGTTTCGTATCCAGAGATGAATAAATATCACAAAAATCTTTGTTCTCTGGCATCCTACTCACAATGTTTTGGTGCTAATTGGTTGCCCTTTGACCCTGAACCCAGACATCTGACCTGACCTGCATATTTGTAAAGCCTGATGCACTTGTACCTTGTACTGGCTAACAGTATTTCACAGAAGGCCTAGCAGGTGTTCTGAAATTGGCCTTTATGTGGTGTGAGACTGGGCCTATGATATTGCACATGGCTATGCATTTGTATGCATATATATATATATATATATATATATATATATATATATATATATATATATATACTTACATATATACACTTAGATTGGTAATTTCTAGGATCATGCTGCTAATCCATTCCTTGGATGTATTCATATATCAAATGGTCATATAATGTGGGGTCTTCCTTCTTGGCTGCCACCATTAGCATCTTTTTCACAGTCACTCTAACAAGATGGCCTTTTTGACCAGGTGTTTCTGATCTATAGAATATAGATAGAACATAGACAAGCTGTGAGGTGACTCTCACCAGGGATCTTCATGATGGATCAGACACAAGATAGTCCCTCAACATCCCAGCCTGGTGACAGTGGGTCATCACTGACATTTGGTGAACATCAAGATGTTGAAGCATTTTCACAGGTAAGAAAAAGCAAGTCACTGAAAAGTGACACTCAAAAGGTAGTTAGTGATCTGTATTGCTGTGTCCTGCTCATGTTTGGAAGAGTAATTAATTGAGAACAATGTGTTTAGTGCACTTTACAATATGATGATACAATATGACATGGTCAAGCATTTGCTTTTGATCTTCTCTAAGCATTATAATATCATAACCTGAAGTATTTAAATACAAGCAATACCATCTCCTTTTTGTCAGATTTGTGTGTGTATATGTACATATTTATATGTATATATATATATATGTGTGTGTGTGTATGTGTGTGTGTGTGATGCATGTGTGTGTGGGTGTGTGTGCTTATCTATTTTTCTATCTACATTTTTATATATCTACCCACATTTCTGTCCCAGTTGTTAAATAAGCAGTAATATATTTTGTGACAGTGATTGTGTTTTGCTTTTCAGGCTTCCCTGAGGGAAATCATGGCTGTCACCAAGCTGTCAAATGAAATACCCTGTGATGAAACATTTGCTCTTTACTCCAGTTTTCCAGCATTTAAGCAGATTATGGACATGGAAGGCAAGATGTGCTTGGAGCTGTAAGCATTTTTTAGCTATGTTCTTTACTGGTGTTCAATAGGGCATGCTATCCCATCTGGTGTGTGTTGTATCTGCATCATCTATTCTGCTATTGGCACCTGCCATTTAAATTGACAGGGCCAAGTGAGAGTCATTTGACAGAATTATATGTGTAATTTGTTTTGTGATCTTGCAATTGTGTCTGATAATTTTTGAGATGATGGATCACTCCATGGTGTATGATTGCAAAAGTTTGAGATAACTGTTGATATGATCTGGCAGCATCCGAAGGGTCTTGAGCAAGTACAAGATTCAGGGGGCCCTCTCCAGTCGTGACCTGGATGAGAAGTTTGACCTGATCGTGGAAGCCAATGACCAGCTGCTGGAAAAAATTGTGAGCAATGTTTTGCGTGATTTGCATAGGTTATATGCTGACCAGTTTCCATGCAGGCTTATGTCTGTCTCGCTCTCCTTTTACCGGATTCGCGATGTTTGATTGAGTTTACTGCCATACCACTGTGTGATGTCCGTCTCTGGCCCTGCCCCATCTCTCTAATACATCCAGTGAACGCGGACCCACTCGCCAGCTCTCCTGTAAACACTGAGCACATGTCGGCGTGTAGCGCGACACCTACCATCCGCACGGCCTACCGCCCGCCGGGCCCGACGTCCGCCGGCGGTAGCGGCAGCGGCAGCGGCCGCTCGGGCCCCCGCGCTTACGCGCCGTCGCGTACTTTGCAGAACGGTGACCTGGACGAGGCGGCCGGCATGAAGAAACGGCTGGATCCGGTGGTGCAGACGGTCAGCGCCAGCACCGACGGTCCGATTAGCGGCCGCTGGAACGTCACCACTAACCGGGTCAGTGCGGCGCCAGCCGGGTCAGTCGACGACACGGCTGACACGTCCAGCATTGACCCGTCGTTGTCTGGCGTGCCCTCTTGCACTGCGCCCGGTCTGATGCTGCCGTGCGGTACTGTTTCTTGTGACACTTACCTTGTCTGGCGTACTGACACCTGGTTACTGTGTTCTTACGCCGCTGCCGCTTGCGACACGTTCTCGTTAGTCAAACGCGCGCCTTCAGTTTGGTCTGCCACATCTTATCCTGCGTCTTCCTCGCTTATCGCATTATCGCCTGCCATCCACTCCCCCATTCGTCTTCTTAGCCTCCGTCACTCTCGCCCCGCCCATCGTACGCCTGACGGGCCCTGTGTCGCGGCAGACGGTGGCGCGGCCGCCCTCGCTTTCGTTACTTTCGCCCCGCCCCATCGTACGCCTGACGGGCCCTGTGTCGCGGCAGGCGGTGGCGCGGTCGCCCTCGCTCTCATTACTTTCGCCTCGCCCCATCGTACGCCTGACGGGCCCTGTGTCGCGGCAGACGGTGGCGCGGTCGCCCTCGCAAACAATCCGCCTCATGACGGCGAACAACATCGAGCGGCCGCAGCTGAGCTTCAAGCAGCGCGTCGACAACACGACCGCGGCGTTCGTGCCGATCATCACGGATAAGCCACATGCGCTGCGGCCGCTGGCCGTGCTGCTCGAGACGGACGACCAGGGCTTGGAGAGGTGAGACGAGCGGCTGGAGGGGTGAGACGAGTGCCTGGAGAGGTGAGACGAGGGGTTGGAGAGGTGAGACGAGGGGCTGGAGAGCTGAGACGAGGGCCTGGAGAGGTGAGACAAGGGGCTGGAGAGGTGAGACGGGGAGCTGGAGAGGTGAGACGAGGGGCTGGAGAGGTGAGACGAAGGGCTGGAGAGGTGAGATGGGGGGCTGGAGAGGTGAGACGAGGGGCTGGGAGGTGACACGAGGGGCTGGAGAGGTGAGACAAGGGACTGTAGAGGTGAGATGGATGGGAAGGGGAGGGTGGAGGGCGGAGCGGGGAGACGAATTAGTACGGAAACGTGGAGCGAGAAGAGGTGAGATGAGGGCCTGGAGAGATCATTATGTCATGTGGCGAAATTGACAGGACAGCACTGACTGCCACTGCTAAAGGTGCCTAGATGCTTCATGGCTGATCCATCTTAACTTGACGCACATTTTGCTGCTGTGGTCCACGGGGCGCGGACAGATCTTATCACCTGGCGAACAGCAGACGCCTCCCTGCCCTGTCTCACACGCCACGACGCCTCCCCAGCTTCTCGCACCCGTACGAGTTCGAGCTGGAGCGTTTCCAGCCGCCGGAGTGGGCGCTGCGCCCCGCCTCTGAGCCGACGCCGCCGTCGCCGGCCGACCAGGCGCCCGTCACCATGGTGACGAGTCCGGCCGGCCTCGAGCAGCTGGTGAAGGAGCTCAGCAGGGAGAGCGAGGTCGCCGTCGACCTGGAGGTAGGACCCGCGGCCAGGGCCGGGCGAGGCGCCGATACTGCCGCCGTGACTTAACAGGGCGTGCGGCGCGCACGGCAGCGGTATGGGGTGGGGTGCCGTGCATGGGGCATGTTGGCCGGATGGTAGGAATGTTCAGGGTGTCTGTGCGTGCTTTCTGTCGCATTGCTTCGAAGCAGAACTGACGCGGAAGTGGCGTTTGACGCGAACGTCTGTTCGGACTGCGAGCTTGAGCTCAGTGCGTGAGATGAGAGACGACCTCGGTGTGATTTAAGCCGAGGTCCAATCTTCGGCTTTCTTCGCCCCAAATCTGAAGGAGCCACAGCTCATTCACTTGCTGTTGTCGCAGTTCCCCCCGTACTCCCTCGTGGCCAGTGCGCTGTCCAAACGGCGTGGTGAGCCCAGTTGTAGGCGCCGTTGGCGGTGTTGTTGGCGTGCTGCCAGCGCCGCCGGGCCGCCCTGACCGTTGCCGACTGTCGCAGCACCACAGCTACCGCAGCTACCTGGGCCTGACGTGCCTCATCCAGATTTCGACGCGCACGCGCGACTACATCGTGGACGCGCTCCAGCTCCGAGGACAGCTGCAGCCGCTCAACGAGGTGTTCGCCAATCCCAACATCGTCAAGGTCGGTCGGGCGTCGTGCCGTGGTTTTTGCCTGGCAGGGGTGCGGCAGAATTGCGCCCCGGTAATAATTTGTTGGTTTTTCACTTCGCTCCCCCAAAGATCATCATTATAGCTTTTTTTGCAGTGGGTGCATTATGAACATATGCTTAATCAGCTCAACTCAGTGCGAGACTTGAATATTTTGGTCGTGGGGTGTAGAGACATCACAATTATGCCATGAAATCATTCCATATTATTGAATTATTATTTTAATGGCTATAAGATTATCCCATTTTTGACCCCCGACGCGGCCGTGCAGGTGTTCCACGGCGCCGACTCGGACGTGGAGTGGCTGCAGCGCGACTGCGGTCTGTACCTGGTGCACCTGTTCGACACGCACCAGGCCTGCAAGGTGCTGGCCTTCCCGCGCCTCTCGCTCGCCTACCTGCTGCAGCACTTCTGCAACGTGACCGCCGACAAGCGGTTCCAGCTGGCCGACTGGCGGATCAGGTGAGGCGCTGCGGCGATGCTCGGCCGATTGGGTGGGACCGGTGACGTTGTGTGGGGGCCCACAACAGCGCGGGGAGGGGGGGGGGGGGTTCACTGCCTGTTGCTCCGCCTCTTACTCAAGATCGACCAATGAGGACCGAGCCGGGCGACGGTCATCGGAGCATCTAGGAACCTCAGGCTTATCGGCCGGTGGATGGGATTTTGGAACAGTGAGGTGGGATGAAGAGTCGGTGCCCCAGTCACCCCGCAGCAGCTGCACGCGACAGGCCGCGGCTGGCCGGCGTGCTCGGGTCCTGTTCAGCTGGTCAGCGGGCCCGTAAGGCGCCGTGCTGGTGAATGGGTCATCAGAGGGGTCATCCTCAGCTGGTCTCCCGAGAGCCGCGGCATCATCCACCTCCCCAGCTTTTTACGTCCCGCTCCCTCTCGGCTGCGCCTGTGCTCGTACTCACTGCATGCAGATGCCGACCTGGCTCCGACAGCCTGGGTGGGGCTCAGCCGTTTCTACTAATCCGCAGCGTTCCAAATTTCATCCAGTAGGGTATGCAGGATGTAGACATAAATTCATGCTACTAGAATCATGTCTCTTCGGCGGACCTCGCATGCAATTCGTTGGCACTAATCCGTTACCCTTTGACCCCGACTCGGACATCTGACCTACTCAGTTTATTTTTCAAGCCTGAGGCACATAGATGCTGGTTTGACAGCCGCCCGGTTCGATGCTGATTGGCCGATTTCGAGCAGGGGGAGGGACCATAGGCATGAGACCAAAGCGGGGGTTTTAAAGCATGAAAAATATCGACATCCCTGCCACCCAAGTGGCCGAATATTGGAACACTGCTAAGCCGAGGTGCTTTGCCACCTTCTGTGGCCTTCAGCCCGCTCAATTGAAGTTGTGTTTTACGGGAACGCGAGTCGCCGTGTTGTGCGCCATTTTATGGAGTGCCGGCGACTGTAGCGCCCATGTTGGCGCTCCGGGCTATGACGCTACCGGGATTTGAACCCGGGTCCCACGTGGGAGCCGGAGGTGCACATGACTCGTCGTCGTCTTCAACTCAACCGCGCACTTAGCTGCTGAGGCTATATGGTGTCGCTTGCCTCCCACCCGTGCAGGAAGAGCGGGCACCACGGTGAATCGAACCCCGTAGCTCCGGTCTCCCAGACGCGCAGTGATTAACGCAGACGCATTAACCACTACACTATCGGCACCCCTATGCGCTAACAATTCGGGCAATACATCCATGCCTGAGATTGTTATTCGTTCGCAACTTGCGTCATATTTGTGCTTGTAATTCAAAGTAGTCCCTTCAAAACTACTTTGCTGTAAAGGGCAGCTTCATAGCTAGTCAGTTCCCACAAACGCTCTCCAAGTGAAAGTTCGCAACAATAACCATCGGAGGCGATAGCCGCGTCTTGGGTCGCGCTGAACTTGCCCCACCCCGTCGCCAGGCCGCTGCCCGAGAACATGGTGCGCTACGCTCAGGAGGACACGCACTACCTGCTGTACATCTACGACCGCATGCGCAACCTCCTGCTGGAGAAGGGCAACGAGCAGAAGAACCTCATTCGGAGCGTGTACACCAACAGCACGCTCGTCTGTCTGAAGGTGGGGCCTGCGGACGGTGGTGCCGTGCTCTGCGCTGCACCAGGCTGTGGTGCTCGCCAGGACCGGGGTGTGCACCAGGTGGTGGGCGCCTTCGTGGAAAAGTGTACGGTTTGTTTAGAGTGACGTTTAGCCCTGAACCCACGTGTCTGGCATTGTTTTCGTCGTTTGAATTGCACTGCTCACTGCATGCCAATAGTCATTCGATAGGGCTCTATGAATTTGGTTGACTGGGAACCAAAGCAGTCTCTTGTTTAATCGACTGCCTCCTTCATAATGAAAATTGCTGACCCAATCCGTGCTGGAGGACTGAGCTCCCGTACTTTTTTGACACAGTATCTTCATCCCCCGTCTTCAGAAGTACCAGAAGCCGGTGGTGCGAGCCGACAGCCACGTGGAGATGTACCGGCGAAGCAAAAAGTCGTTCAGCAATAAACAGATGGCAGCACTGGCGCAGCTCTACAAGTGGCGCGACGAGACTGCCCGCATCGAGGACGAGAGCACGCAGTGAGTGCCGGGTGATCACCCCGATGGCGCACTACAGAAGAAGTGTGGCCTTGGCGCAGACCCCGAGCAGCACGCTGCGCCGTCGGCGGCGCACGCAACATGCGCGTCGTGACGTGCCGTGTGGTACTGTCACGCTGAAATATTAACTGGATGTGATGTTGCATCCTCCGGGACCGGGACGGGACCGGGACCATTGTGCATTTTCATTTATGTCTTGTGATGTGCCATTACCGACCGTCCATGGACAATATTTAAACATTTTACCGGCGATGTCACCACGCAGCTGTTAAACTCCGCCTCGACCTTCACGTCCGTTATCTCTACGCGCGCCAGCATACCGCGCACTCGTGACCTCATCACTCTGACGTCACACGTGCCCGGCAGGTACGTGCTGCCGAACCACATGCTGCTGCAGATCTCTGAGCTGCTGCCGCGCGAGATGCAGGGCCTGCTGGCCTGCTGCAGCCCCGTGCCGCCGCTGCTGCGCCAGAACCTGGCCGCCGTGCATAAGATGGTGCTGACCGCGCGCAGTCTGCAGCATGTCATCGTACGTACCCGGCGCGGACCTGGTGCAGGCGGAGGACGAGGGCCGCGCCCACCCCACATGCAGGGGTGGGATGCAGCCGGTGCGAGCACCCGGGTCTGATGTGCGGCGTTGGGCGCCTAGCCCAGCGAGTGGAGGATTTTGTGGTGGGATTCCTCGGTAGAAAGCTGGTGTCGTCAGGGGCTGGTATCCTCATGGAACGAAACCTTTTGGGATCACTTGTGGCCAGTTGTGTAAGGGGCCCGATATAAACTCGCTCGTACGACATCTTTTTGTCGGTTTTGCCCGGTGAGCATTTCCATTTTGCGAAATTAGTGTTTCTGCGTGAAAGCATGTCAGGGAATGGTGCACACGTTCATGGAAGAATCCCGAACTTTTCTCGGCAGTTTTGGACTTCATGTTAGCAAGGCCGTGGGATAATACCAAAGTCCAAATACCTCCGATACAGGCTGGTAACGAGTGCGGTTTTCAATTTTCCCTCCGCAACCAGCGTCCGAGAGTTGAACGCGAATGGTAACGGTCGTGTTGCCGTGGGTCCTAACACAGGCCACACACGTGACCTGGTGGGAGCGCCGGCTCGGTCACGTGACGCCCCTCTGGTCACAGGAGACGCGGGCGGACCCGGCCATCCTGGTGGAGGCGCCGGCTCGGTCACGTGACGTCCCTCTGGTCACAGGAGACGCGGGCGGACCCGGCCATCCTGGTGGAGGCGCCGGCCCGGTCACGTGACGAGTGCAACAGCGTGCTGCACAACCGGCACGACACCAGCCACCTGGCGGACGGCGACCGAGTCAACGTCCCCATGCTGCTGTGTCCGGGTATGCCCGCCGAGCTCACGGCTGTGGGTGCTGCGTTTTCGGCACAAGTGAACAACGTTTTACGGTTCGATTTCCCGTGTGAAGTAAATTAAATTGCGTGTGAAGTGATGCGGGCTGTGAGGATACGGTGCGATGAGTCCTCCGAGGCCCGGAGCTCGGCTGTCGATGCTCTAGGGTAGACGGGCTGCGCTGTGAGAGGAGACGGGACCACCGAGCCAGGCTCGGTCTTGTCTGTACAGTACTCGGTCGTCACCGACGGAGGCCTGCGTGTAGCCTGTCTGCACAGTGCTCGGTGGTCACCGACGGAGGCCTGCGTGCGGCTTGTCTGTACAGTGCTCGGTTGTCACCAGCGGAGGCACTCGTGTGGCTCGCCCTGGGTCGCGGCCGGCGGCGCCGTCGTGCCCGCGTATTTAGCGGCCTGACCGTGTCTTGTCGCCGAGCGTGCCTGCGCCAGGTTCGCAGGAACGTGGGTACCGAATCTGGCGAAAAGTTATTGGTTCCGTTTTAGAACATCGGCTAATTCTTAAGTCAGTCGCCGTCCCCCGCCAGGTATGTACGTCCGTGTCAATGCGCATGGTTGTGTGGGCGTCAGACACCGTGCCTCTGACATTGTGCGCGTCTGTGTCATAGGATGTACCACTCCGTCAGCACATCTCCGTCCGCGCGTATGACCATGTGCCACGTAGGCCCGTCTTTCCTGTGGTCCGCCCGTCAGCTCACGCCCGCTTGAGCCGTGCCTGGTGACCTTGACCGCTCGCCCTGCCTGGACAGGGGCTGACGACAGCCTGGACACGTCGGCGGCGGAGGAGGTCCCGACGCCGTCAGCCAGGATCAAGGAGGCGCCGGATCTGGACGTGTTCGCGCCGGAGGTACGGCGCTGAGAGGCGCGCCTGCAGCTGACGGTGCGGTGACGCTCGCTGCTCCTATGAGCGGTGGTCCTGAGACATAGGCACCTTTGAAAACGCAGCAGTGGAGCCTTTTCGCTGCGTGGTGACTTGTCTGGCTTTTGCACGAATGGAGTTTCAGTGTGTCTCGGATTGAAAGCGTCCATGAACTAACAGTGAGCATTTGGACAGGTGTAGCGTTCGTGTGCATACTCCCTTTGAGCTGTTTGACGTTTATGACCATGCATATATCCCGGCCACTTTGCTTGCACACATGCACTACTGCACACTGCTGCTGAGGTGGCAGAAGTCGTCTCAGTGCTGGTCACAGCTGAAATCTCGGACCCCGCCGCAGTCGTACAGAGCACTGTGCACAGCGCGACGGCGGAGTGCTGTGCCCGCCACACAGCGCTGACCCGCTCCTCTTCGGCAGCGAGTGGTGACGTCATCCGTGGGAGAGGATTGGATCAGCCCCTACCGCCGCTACCTGATGATGAAGGAGAGCGTTGGTGACGAGAAGGTACGCCTTGGGGCCGGAGACGCCCCTCGCTCGCTCTCTGTTGTCCTCGGGCGGATCGTGCTCGGCTGATGGGCAGAGGGGAGGGGAACAAGCGGCGCTCCATAGCCGTGACCGAGCGAGATGGAAAGGTCTCATTTTTCGAAGCAGTTTTGGCGGCAGCTGTTTCTGTGACGAGTGAACGTGAGCTGCGCCGGCGCCATAAGTGACCCAGCCGCGCCGGTGCTCCGCCAGCCCGGCTGCGCTACTGAAGGACTGATGGTGCTGGATCGGTAGCGGTCCCACCGGCCTTGCTTCGTGCTGGGCTGGCCCAGCTGAGGTGCTCTCAAACCAGCCGAACCGTCCACTGCTGGCCTGACATGACCCTCCGCGCTGTACCCCCCGGCTGTATCCGTGAGCGCAGCACCGGGACTGACCCGGCGACCGGCGTGATACCGGCCCGGCCACCCGTGCTGCTGTGGCGCGGCCACCCGCTCGCCGGCCGGCCCGCCTAACTCCGCCCGCGGCCGCCAGGTGGTGCGTCGGATGGCCGAGCTGACCGAGATGACGCCGGAGCGCGCGCCGCGGCCGGCGCCGCGGGCCTCGCCGCCGCCGGCGCTCGAGGCCGTGCTGCCCGGCCTAGCGGACCAGTCGTCAGTCAAGGTGGCCCTGGACCAGCCGGAGCCGAAGGCGCCGCAGACGCTGCGTGTCTCGGTGAGCTCCCCGCGCGGTGCGGGCTGCCGCGAGCCGATGGTCGGCCGAGCCCGCGGCCTGCTGTGGCGGAGTGCCCTGACGGCTGGGCCAGGCTTCTGTCGGGCGTCAGAGTTGGTGTTGTGTGTCGAGTGGTGTGGAGTCTCGAACGTTGCCGTTGGTCTCCAGCTGGTGCGGGAAACGGAAGTTGGTGCAGTCATCGTCCGCAGGCTGGTGGACCGAAACGTGGCACGAGTCGCTAGCTACCCCGGCTGCTGTCTTTGCGGCCCGCCATTTTCCTTGCCGGCTGCGTAGCTTCTCGACAACCAGACGAAGTTGTGTTCTCGACTAAGCGACAGATGTCGGTTTATGTCGTCTTAATCTCTCCCGTAAAACGCTCCAATGTCTCGCCCGAAAATGCGAATGACCTACGTCACGGAACCTGGCGTCAGGACATCCAGGAGTATTTACTTGGTGACGTTATGGGTACGCCCCGTGGGTGTGTGGTGTCGAAGCTTTGGCCACGAATGTAATGTGCAGATTTAGTTGAGCGCAAATTGTGAATGTGACTATCGTGGAGGTCAAGCGCTTTATTGCGGCTGTTGTCTCGTCCGCCTTCAGACGTCTGCCGTACCGCGTCCGAAAGAGCATTTCCCCCAGTCTTCTTCTCACCAACACCCCATCCCCTCCCCCAGCGGAAGGACACCATTCGGGAGGCGAAGAAGGGCCGTAAGGCGCACAAGCGGAAGCGGGACGCGGACGGCGCGGAGGTGGCGCCGCCCACCATCCCGTTGGCCGAGCCGGGCCCGCCGGCGGCGCAACGGCCGCGCCCCGCCGGCCAGTGGACCAAAGAGCCGGCGCCGCCGCCGCCAGACCCATTCGACTACTCGAGCGTAGACTACAGCACGTTCGGCCGGCCGGCCAGCACGGCGCGCGCCGACAAACGGGGTCGCGGCCGGGGCGGCGCGCGCGGCGGCGCGCGTGGCGGCAGCAGGGGGGTGAGTGGGTGGCCAGGCGCTCCGGCGGTGGGGCCCTGCTTTCAGACGGGGGATATAGGGTGCTGCTGAAATCATGAAGTGTTTCTGTTCATCGATGACGGTTCTGTTTGGGGTAGTGAGATTTTGGGAAGGTGGGTGGTGCTGCTGGGAGTATTTCTGGTTATCGACACAACTTCCTTGTGGGGCAATGATGTTCGTCGGACATTTCTGTTTGAGGTATTGAGATTATTCAGTAGATGCCTGCCAGGTGTTTCTGCTGCTCTTACGCCGCTCTGCGACTATTCGACTTGTCGCACCACCTGTGGTGTGAATCTTCTATGACCCGTATGAGCTACCTCGTCTGCAGCGATATGGCCTCACTTGCGTGCACGATGTCAGCAAACAACGGCAGCGACTAAAATCCTTCTACGAGCAGTACTAGACATGTGCATCAGCATACTTCGTCTTGGGACAGATTAGGCGCTGTCGCGTCGTAAACAGATTGTCCAGCACCCGCAGTGAGGCTGGCCGTCTGGCCTGCCCCACTTGACCCGGGTCGGCCCGTTAGCGCTGCCCCATTGTCGGACTCCGGGTTAGGCTGCGGTGCCCGGACTGCGGCCTCTTTCTGCAGTTCGGCCTTCGTTCTGTGGCCGTCACACTCCCCGCTTCCGCCCCGCAGAAACCAATTTCGCTTTTGCCCGCGTGATGACGCACGTGCAGTGGCCAAATGTGTGTAATTCGGGAGGACTCCTTGGCCATGCGCGGAGTGGGCTTGACCTTGACGCCAGTTATGCGTCCCAGCGCGCGCCAGCCGCGCCTGCTCTGACAGGTCGCCGCCGTGTTGCAGAGACGCGGCAAGAAGCCGTGGCAGCAGGAGGGCGGTCGGCAGCAGACGTTTGGCGCCGGGCCAGGTCGGCGCGGCCGCTGACACCAGCCCAGCGCCTGCCCCTGCCCGTGCCCGACTGCCCGCGTCTGGTGTTAAGAGCGTTCGGGCGCCACGCCCGCCACAGTCTGGTGCATTGCTGTGTTCGCCGCTCGTGTACGCAAAAGAGAAGCATGTCCACGTGAGAGCGAGAGCATGTTGTGTATTACGAGTGACAAGATGGATGAACGGCGACGCGGGCGGGGATGGCGAGGGGACGGCTGCGGGGCTGCCGTCACATCTGTCCACACTGCGCCACGATCACCGGTATCTTGGGCTTGTTGTTGGGCCCGGTTGGCACGTTCTCGATCTTGCGCATCACCAGCAGCCCGTCTATGACGCGGCCGAACACCACGTGCTTGCCGTCCAAGAAGTCGCACTTGGCACACGTGATGAAGAACTGACAGCCGTTGCTGTCACGGCCGCTGTTGGCCTGGAACGGAACGCGTCAGCCGGTCAGCGTTCCGCTCACGCCGGTGGGCAAGCGGTCGGCGCGCACACGCGTGTCCCACGCAGAAACGTCGTTGGCAACATCGAATCTGGCAACTCGTGAACTGGGTGTCGATCGGAGGACCAAAGCCATCATTCATAAAAATGTCAATTTCTGGCCCATTTTAATGACGATTAAAACTACTCTTCACTGCGTTTCCGAGATCCGACTGTGTCGGATTTCAATTAATACTCATTTAAGAACCTGACCTTGGCCTTCCGGTCAGGACCAGCATATCGGACCGCACGTTCTGTACGGCTTACCGACATGCTGTTGAGACAGATTTGCACTGCCGGTTGCACAGAGCACCCAGTTCACCAAAATGACCACCCATTGTGGCACAAAAGCAGAGCCAACAATATGCCATCGAGAAATAACGGGATCATTACAGAGGCTAACAATTAACATGTGCCTTACCATGGAGAGCAGGCCTGGACCATCGTGCCGAAACTTGAAGCTCTCATCGGCGAAAGCCGAGCCTCCGTATATGCTGCAAACGCCTGTGCCGTCACCCTGGAAAGCATGACGGGGTCCATTGTAGGTGGGCCAGCACACGACTCGTTGGCGTTCATATAGCTTGTTTGACACACAAAATAAAATTATTGAAAACTTAAATGCCTCCGTACGATAATAATTACTTAACGCTGTCATCAGATCACGGACAGGTACACACCATGAACTGAACGAAGGCCGAAGAAGCAACAAGCTTACCTTGATGAAGTCTCCTCCCTGTATCATAAAGTCTTTAATGACGCGATGGAAGTTGGCGCTCTTATAGCCCATGGGGACGCCATCCCTGCGGTACTCGCCCGTGCAGAACTGCCGGAAGTTCTCCGCAGTCCGCGGACAGACGTCGGCAAACAACTCCACCAGCATCCGACCTATCTCCTGAAAAACAGCAAACACGTTCACGGGCGTGCAGACACTTGCTGGGAAGAGCACGAATCACGTTGTGCAACTCCAACCTCGCAGTTTAAGGGTGCGTCAAACGCAAATGGTCATGCAGAACAACTCTAGGTTTATGAATAGTAACAGACTGCGAACAGCTACAATTGTTAGTGAGCATGCAAGCAGCTGTACAAATTCATTTTCTGGTACTGTCATCACTCAAAAATTTAATCCAAAGCTTTTACATGCGTGGATTTCTGGGATCTGAGCTCAGGCCAATCAGCGCCTGTTGTGCCAGTTCTGACCCGTTCATCTGATCACGCCATTCTAGGTTAATGGCAGAATTGGATAAAAAAAACTTATGAGCCGTAATGCTCAGCACGGTCCGTCCTGCCCTCCGCTGTCACGGATCGGAAGGTGGATGCAACGGCTATCGGGACAGACAAGATTATACTTCGTCTTTCGCCTCGACATTTTTATAACACGAACTTAACGAATACTGCATGCTAGCAGTAGCTGCCAGTCATGATGTGAAGGCAAATCAATGTCCACATTACTTTGGCTCATGCAATGATCTAAGTTGGCCTTGAACAACTTTACAGGACTCCTTTTGGGCCAGCCTGACATAACAACCACATGTGACTACTGAAATCATGAAATGGAAATTGCAGAACACAAATTGGATTAAGACTATTTGAATTGTTGTTGTACCACACAGGGAGTGGAAACAGGCAGATGTGTGCAATGATTCCAGTCTGGGGCATGCTCCAGTAGCAATGATTAAACTGGAACTGCCTGGCAGACTTCATGTCTCTTTCCCAAAATTAAAATTGCTTGAAAATAATGGCTCTTCATGCATTCCTATGAAGATATCGCAGACCAATCCAAAATCGCCATTAGTATGACGCTGTTAACTTTCACAAATCTCACCAATGCACCCACATACAAACTCAACTCACATCCACACCAACACAGTGCAACTTATACTGACAGCGTAATTTTGGGGACAAAAGGAGGGCTTGATATTGCATTATCAAATACATGCAACCATAAAAATATCACATACATGCAGTCAGCATTAAAGCCCAAAAATCACTAAACAGCACCAAAAAAACATTGAGAAAGAAGGCAAAGAACACAAAAATAAACAAAGTAGACCCATAAAAAACAGGGCAGTGCAGGACAAAACTGATCTCATCAGAAAACACCAAAACCTGCATTACCTCGAGGTTCAGGCAAAGAGATACAATGCTAATGACATTGCATGTTCTTTACATAATCCAATGCAGTGTATTAGTTATCGTGAATGGACTAACCACCTAAATTCTGAACACAATACTCACAGTGTTGCCAACTTTTATATCAAAGAACACCACTGGATTATTAGGGTGCTTGAGTTGAGACTGGATCTGGTTCCAGGTTGGCATTTTTGCTGAAAAATGATAAATATGTGATTATAATCAAATCATGACATCACATCCTATTCTTGCTGTTAGTGTCAAGATACTGGCAGGTGGGGATCTGCTCATACATGCTTGCTACACCTAAAATACACCTCATAAAATATTTAAAAAATAAATGTCACATGAGATAATATTTCAGGACAGCCAGACTTATTAGTCAACACACCACTCTTCCTGCCATGGTGAAATAAGGGGATACCACTTAACCACAGTAACTGAATGCATCATGAAACCCTAATGTTAAAAACAATAAAAGCAGGCCAATGGTGCCAGGTTGACATAAGAACTGCTAGCTCACCACAATAGGCACCACAAAAACACAAGATGCTGTTGTGAACTGAGTTTTATGCATTTAGCAGAATACACCTGTTTATATACCATATATAACTATTTTGGAGCACACAGCCATGATAATTACAACACATCATCTCAGAATAAACAAGTCATGCACAAAATTCAGTTGTGTTAAAACATTAAAAAACTGTCATGATTACAAAGCATAATACTGCACAGCCAATTTAATATGCTAACCTTTAGAATGGATCAATAATGATCACATGCTAACCAAGCTGTGTAAATGCAATGAATTGTTTCTACAACCTTACTGCCCTGTTGGACATGATCAGTATGTCACACATTTTCAGTTTGGCTGCACAGCACAAATGTGTTGCTTATCAAAATAATAATTTGAGTTAAAATATATACATATATGTTTATATATATATATATATATGTTTATATATATATATATATATATATATATATATATATATATATATATATATATATATATATATATGAACTGGCAATTGCTTCTGGTCAAACATACATACAGTCTTGCTGTGTGCTCTGACTATATAAGACAAATTTTGTGTTTGGCCACTAGGGTGGAAATAATATCAAGATAGAAGAAAACAGACCCTTAGCCTCCCCAGGGCTGAGGGTGCTAGACTATCATTAGATTTAGGTTCAGGCTTCACTGGTACCTAATGTCTGGGTGAGGAGAGGGGGCAGTATGTTGAAGTTTTGCCCTGGCCCAACATTCTTGAGGCAAGATCTGCCAATTCTGTTGGATTTAACACCACTTTCTTGACAGTTTAGCATAAGTTTCATTTACTCTTTGACTGGCTCTGTCTACACTTTGCATGCATCTTCCTGTTTATCAGCTTTAAAGGAGCTGTTCTTTCCTGCCTGTCAGACCAAGACCTAGTCTCAATTAAACAAGTATGTCAAAACACATGGTCTAGGGGAAAGTTGCTGGACTCGTAATCCAGAGGCACCGGGTATGAGTCCCAGAGCCGGCGCATTGTTTGGCCCAACTGAAATGGAAAGGTCAGCTGGCAACCAGCCAGTGAGGGTCAACCCTGGCTGGGGGGCGGCCATGTTGCAGCATTGTGTGGTAGGTAAAACCCTCCACAGTCCTGTCTGGAGCAAGGGCAGAGGCAAAATTATCCATTGAATTGGACGGTATGACTTGGGTGGTGGGTTCGGGGTACATGCAACAAGCTACGCTTAGCAGGTACTATGAGCCCAGAATCATCCATACAAACCATTCAGAGTAAATTTAATAAAAAAACCCTGCAGATGATGTGAGATCAGCACTCAATAATCACTTGCATTCCATTCTAAGAGCATTGCAGCATAACCCAAGTGATGACAGCAGATAATTAATGGCTGAAGTTTGACATGGAAAATATGTAATTTAAGGCATATTTGCTTAGTCCTGTGCCAGAAACATAATATGAGTTTGAGAAAATGGGGCATGGCCTCAAATTAATTCACCCCACGACCTCACCATCTACACAAACATGAATTATCATCAGAAATCCAGACTTGCCGTACTCACCGGCTAATCCTTTTTTTTGAACACAACTTCAAACGAAAATAAAAAGATCTCCGTGAAAAAGCACTGCGAGCAACAAGTAATAAATGCCAATGTCCGAGCCAACCTTTAACAAACACTGCACGAAATGTTCAATTCAACCTTACTCACGCACCTCTTTACACAGCAAAAAACCTGACAGAATCGTGTCCTTCACAATTAGCGCGGCAACGCCATTTATGAAGCCGCAATCAGCTGTTAACTTATGTTGGGAGCCAGTTGCTATGGAAACAGGAATGCCATACGTATAAACATTGTTGGCGCTTTGGAGACAAAATAGTAAGCTGCTGGCAATTGTATTTACGCTTAGGACTCACGATCATCCTTTAGATGTAACAGGCGTTTGCGCGCTTGCTTCGCTGCGCTTTTAGAAAACGTAGAATGTTGAATTGTCTATCATTCACAGCTTAAATTACGGTTGTAGGTGCCCTGGTTACCGATATATTGGTCAAAACCGAAATGGTCCAGGTGTAAACCTGTTGCCAACATATTAGAATATGTATGTTGTGTATATGCCGTATATGGCTGTTGAACTGATGTTGTGTGCCAAATGTTTCAGCACAATGTTGTGAGCAAGACCATTTATAATTTTGTGTAAGAACACTGGAAAAAATATATCAAGAGCCTCAAAAGTTGTAAAGGAAATGGGTGGGCTGGACATCCAGCAGCTGCTGGAATTTGATATCAGCAGTGATCTACCTGAAGATAAGCTAGAGGAGTTGTACTCTGGCATAGATGCACTGAAAGAGAACATTTCAGGAAAGCTAGACAAAGATCAGCTTGCTCAGCTAGTCATTCTAGCTCAATATGCCATGAGATGCAAGCAAGAACAGGTATTGTATAGTTCCGATTCTTGCCTTTTCATGGTCTTTATCAGGCATATAGCTGCATATCCTTCTGTACCAGTGTGGAGCCAGTTGCAAGTCTACTGACCATGCAAGAGTGATTTTTTATGGAACCTAGTATGCCATTCTTGTCATGAATGTACTGGCCATGTGCTGCTGCCCATTCTTGGACTGCACCTTTTATTGTAATGTGGTCAGCTAGTTGTGCAACCCACAACTATTTGATATAACACAAGTCCTTTAGTCCTGCTCTTTCTGCTGACATGCTCATTGCAAAGTGACTGCCAACTTGAGTAGAATGCAATCTGTCTGTATTGAGTCCCTATCAGGGATCCTGTATACTGTTGAACACACTTAGTCACAGGCTCAGCCTCTTACCAAAAAGTCAATTCTTTCCAGTCCAAGTCCAAAAGTCCACTCTTTTTTACTTGACACCCATGCTGACCATTTCAAAACCCAGAAATCTGTGGTGGTGGGTTTTCCCTTCTACTTCACAGACAGTTTCATGCATGGGCTGAGTTTAAATTGCACTGACCCTTCTTTGGTCAAACTTACTCTGGCCATTCAAAGAACCTCTTAGTGATAGACTGACAGTTGTCTGATATATAGTGTGACCATTGCAACAACTAGTGATGCTTTAACACAAGGTCTGCTAATGGATGTGTGATGACACCTTGGTATCAACTGATGATACCAATGATTCTCCAAGCCCACCGTGATATGTACGCTTGGCTGTCATAACATTTCCATTCTGGATCTTCAGCTGTCTGTGGCTGTCGAGGAGATCGAAAAACGTGCAGAAGCATCAGGAGAAAATGAAGAGCTTAAACAACGCAATTCAGAACTTCAGAAGCTGGTCAACAAGTACAAGAGCAAGGGTGCAGGTGGGTTGTTTTTTATTAGTTGGGTGCTATTTCCGTTGTCATGGAGCATGCTGCTATCATACATTTGCTTGAATTTCAGGTTACTCATTATTACTAAGCCTTGGTGTCCTTGAGTCTCGACCCTACACGGAGCTGGCATGTTACATATTCAGTCGTCGTGATGAGATGTTCGTCTCAGTTGTATGCGTTGGCAACCAGTGCTGGAAAACTCTTAAGGTAATACACCTGAACCATTGATGACGACGTCTGCTTGTATGTCTAGTATTGTGCTGCGTGCTACTGCGTGCGGGTATATGGTGACTGTAGCGCGAATTTTCTGTTCAGTGCTGGCGAATGGCTGGTATGAGCGTCCGGGTGGTGCCGGACGAATGGCTGGTGTAATTGTCCGGATGGCGCCGGACAAATGGTTCGTGTGAGTGTCCGGATGGTGCTGGACGAATGGCTCGCGTGAGTGTCCGGGTGGTGCTGGACGAATATTCGTGTGAGTGTCCGGAGGGTGCCGGACGAATGGCTCGTGTGATTGCCTAAGTGATGCCGGACGAATGGCTCGTGTGAGTGTCCGGAGGGTGCCGTCCGCCGCAGACGCCCGGGGCGTGGAGCTCAGGACGGAGGTGGAGGAGCTACAGGCCGCCCGCAGTCAGCTGAAGAAGGACCTCAAGACCAAACAGCGGCAGCTTGATGACGAGAAGCACGAAACGGACAAGGTATGGACGGAACGGTGTTGTTGGCGCCGACGGTAGAGGAAGGCGACGATTTTTCTTTGTGCTGTGCAGGAAAATTCTCACTGTTTCAATGGAGTATGAGCTGGATAATAACACAGCAATGCGAATGTCGTTCCAGGACCCGAGTGGGAACGCCGGGGGGCTTATCCTTGGGAATGGTCGACGTTCCCCTGCCAGAGGTCAATCGAATTGGGCATGTGGACCGTGTTAAGTGTTGCGGGCGTCGTGATCTGTGCACGATAGTTGCCGTCCTATCACATGACAGCTGGAGACGGGGCACGCGTCGACGGCGGCGGCCATGTGACAGCGATCACGCTGCGGGCATGACGGTGCGTTTCAGCTGTCGGCGCGTGTGGAGGAGTTGGAGATGGAGCGGCGCGAGCTGCGGCGCCAGGTGGAGCAGCTGAACGAGACCCTGGACGAGCTGCGTCGCGGATATGACTCCAGATCGGTAGGTGGGCACGCCAACGGTGGCGGGAGCCGGCCGGCTCGTGCTTGCTAGGAACGGCGTCAGCGTCGCTGGTTTGCGGTTGAGAAGACGAGAAAACAGCCACGTTGGATGGCAGCGGCCGCGTCGACCAGCTGCGAGTCAGGGACGCTGATAGTGTGGCGAAATACAGTATAAGTTCTATGAATGCTATTCATAGGTACAGGGCGTGAAATTCGTTGGAATATCCGTCAATATTTGTCTGTCAATCTGTTGGGTATCACGTGTTTGGTACCGATCTATCAAAAGAGCCGTTCGGTCACTGTCACTCGAGCCTGTATTGATGCTGTGTGATGGCGGGCAGGATCCTGAGGACGCTGGCGAGCACCAGTATGCGGAACTGATCCGGCAGAAGAACCAGTACATCAACGTGCTACTCGACGACGTCGAGGTCCGGTAGTGTTCTTTCCGCACGCTCAGGTGTCAATGGCATGTTCGTGTGGAACCGTGCGGTTCAACTAAGACCATCTGTCAACGTCGAGATGATATGACTGCCCAAGCGGCCTAGTAGCGGTGTGTAAGAGGCTGAATCTGCTGTTTGGTAGACGCTTAAACGATAACAGAACAGCCTCGAGCTGGTGCGTAATCGCAACTTACGTATTTCAATGTCGTATGTGCGTTTTCATGAAGAAAACGAAGAGAGTGAAATCGAAAAAATCGGCTTTTAAGTAGTACGTGTTGAACAGAGACAGACACACATGTTGTCGTCCACAATACTCGCGTGGGTCCAAGCGGCTGAGGCGCCTCCGGTCTCGCCGCCGTCTCCAGGCGCACGAGAAGGACAAGTCGGAGATGAAAGCTCAGGTGGTCTCACTGCGCGACCAGCTATCAGAGGCCACGCGCCAGATCGAGGACATGACGGCCGAGTTCGAGATCTTCAGGAAGCAGCCTCGGCCGGCGCCGCGCGGCGAGCAAGGTGTGATATCACAGCCCGCAGTGCTGCTACCTACTGGCGGTGTCTGACCGCGGCTGGGCCAGTTCTGGACTGGCGGCTGGCGGCGTCTGCCACGGCTGGACCAGCTCTGGACTGGCGGCTGGCGGCCTCTGGCCACGGCTGGACCAGTTCTGGACTGGCGGCTGGCGGCCTATGGCCACGGCCGGCTGGAACAGCTCTGGACCGGCCCGCAATTCAGACAGCTCTCACCAGTGTACAGAATCGCAATGAAGCATGCGTCTGATCATGGTGTGCGTGCGTCGACCTGACGAGGCGACGCTGGTACTGAAACAAAGTGCCGATCGGAAGGCCAGGAAGACCCTGACTAGAGGTGTCCATGGGATCGGGGAAGCCTCCTTTTCGTCATCCGGTGGTGCAGCTCCTCCCGTCTCCTCTCATCCCCTGTTCTCTAACGCTCGGCTCCCTCTGTCCTCTAACGTTCCCCTTCCTCTGTCCTCTAGTGCTCCTCTTCCTCTGTCCTGTAGTGCTCCCCTCCCTCTGTCCTCTTGCGCTCTCCTTCCTCTGTCCTGTAGTGCTCCCCTCCTTCTGTCCTCTAGCGCTCCCCTCCCTCTGTTCTGTAGGGTTGCTCGTGTTGTGGACTGTGAATGTTAGAGGTGGTCGTTGCCTCGGTGCGGGCCTGCAGTGTCGTTCGCATGTGACGGGAGTTTATCCGTCGAGTCGCCGACTGATTCGTGCACCGTCCGCCAGATGGCAGTGGCGAGGCGGCTCGCACCATCCAACGTCTGGAGGCGCAGGTGGCCGAGCTGCAGGCGGTGAAGCTGCGTCGCGACCGTCAGTTTGACCAGCTGTCGGCCATCGTGGAGCAGCGCACTGAGGAGTTCAAGCGGCTCATCACGGACCGCGACACCGAGATAGAGGGTCTGCAGGCCGAGCTGCGCCGCGCCAACGTCAGGGTAACGCCCCGCCAGCGTCCTCACTGTAGACTAGGCAGGACTTGTGTGCCCACAACCCATGCGTGTTTCTCGGCTTCCAGTCGCTGCGGCTCGTTGTCAGCGAACTCCGCTCTTGCCAGTCAGCGTTTGTGAACGCTCGCCTCACTGGCATGCCCCTCGCCATCAGCCGGGCCCTCAGCCGTTGTATTCCGTGCTCCTCGCCATCAGCCGGGCGCTCAGCCGCTCTATCCCTTGCCCCTCGTCATCAGCTGGGCCCTCAGCCGTTGTATTCCCTGCTGCACGCCATCAGCCGGGCCCTCAATCGTTCTATCCCGTGCTCCGCGCCATCAGCCGGGCCCTCAGACGTGTTGTCCGTGTCCATCGCCATCAGCCCAGCCTGGGCTGTTCAGTCCCGTGCCCGGCACTGGCCCAGCTGACTCTCGGCTCGGCCGCCGCCAGCAGACGACACCAGACGTGGACTCGGACAAGCGGCGCATCGGCGAGCTGCAGCAGCAGTGCGAGCAGCAGCGGCGCCAGCTGGCGACGCAGCAGGCGGCGCTGCGCCGTGCCACCACCGACATGGAGACCACCACCCGGCTGCTGGAGCAGAGCCGCGAGCGTGGCACCACGTCCAGGTGAGGCGGCCCTGCTGGGTGGCGAGGTCGCGCCGCACGGGGTCGGCAGGGCGTCTGGCTGGTACCGCTCCACACCGACCGGTCGGTCAGTGGGCACTGCCGCTCCGGGGTCAGTGTCAGTGGCCGATGCCGCGTCAGACGTGACGTCTGTGGTACACCGCGTGGTGCCAGCGGCTCTGTCGGTGTGCCGCGCCACATGAATCGAGATGTCGGTGTGCCGCGCCGCACCTGACGCGGCGTGCTCCGCGTCTGGGCCGGAGTGAGCTGGCGCCCAGCCGGCGTCCCTCTGACTAGCGACTCGTTTCCTGTGCTGGACAGCGGTGAGCCGGCACCGAGCTCGCTGCTGGCCGTGCGGGCCGACCTGGCGCGCGCCGAGGCTCAGGTGCGCCAGCTGACCACCCAGCTGGAGGCCACCGAGCAGCAGGCGGCCGACTACAACGATCAGGTGAGGCGTCGGCCGGCGGCGGTCCGTCCTTACCGGCTGACTGAGCGCAGCACGCTCGCGGCGGCGCTGGGTTGTCTAATGTTCTGGAGCTCGGCGGTAGAACGATGGGGGAGTGGGCGTGACGACGAGGATGCAGAAAGTGACCTGAGCCCGGGTCGTTGTGCCCTTGCGTTATCCGATCCTGACCGGTGTTTGCGGACCAAGCTGACAGTCAATTGATGCAATCGATGCATCCGGTCGAATCGATCTGAGCCAAGGCACCCTGACCTGACGCGCCCTGATCCGATGCCTCCTAATCTGATCTGACTCCCGACCTGACCTGTGACCGGGCTACGAAAGCCGATGGAGAGCGAGGCACGCCTGGCCTGTTCTTTGTCCATGATTGCATCAGTGTTCTGATATGCGGTGGCGAAGCTGGCAGTGAAAGGGCAAGAGTCCATGGAGGACGGGCCCGGTCTTACCTGACCTGACCTGACCTGACCTGACATGACCTGTGCGCAGGTGACGGAGCTGACGGTGAAGCTGCGGGAGGTGATGGAGGGCGAGTTCGGACTGTCGGAGGCGGTGGCTGAAATCAAGGAGTGTCAGCGCCAGGTCGGCGTGCGCGACCGCCAGGTGGCCGAGCAGAACAGCTACATCAACCTGGTGCAGCGCCACCTCACGGAGCTGGTGGACGAGAACACGGGACTGAGGTGGGCCGCCACCCCCCGCGCCGCCGTGCCGCACCGCCCGCACAGGCGGCGGCGGCAGCATTGCCACCAGCTGGTGTGTATGCGCGTGGGGCACGAGCTGATGTCCCCCCCCCCTTGTCACTCTTGGCGCTGAGGGCCGCGTAGGCAGTGACGGGATGCGTCGAACTCCATACTTCACTTCCGTTCCAGCCCGCGGGAGTACGCACTGGCGGGCGCAGATTGTGTTACGTTGCGACCGGTGCTGACGGCCGGACGTGTTTTGGCAGGAGCCGCCTGGGCATGGAGCCGCACGAGGCCGCGGACCTGGTGGCCAATAACGCGGGCAAGGAGAAGCTCGTCCACGTGCTGGAAAGGGAGGTGGAGAAGCTCGAGGAGGAGAGGATAGCTCTAAAATTGGAGGTACATACCTGCGCGGCGAGGGAATCGACGTTGGTAATCAGAACTCGTGTTGGCTCTGGTTACTCATCAATCCGGAACATTTGTCTCGTGTTTGTCTGTTTAACTACCGGATGTGAATCGATTGCTTTCAAGGATGGTTAGATGACGGTGAAGTCTTAAAGCCTGGTTAGTCTTGATACCTGTTGAGAACGTCTGAAGCTCACGTATGACAAAAACACATGAAGCCGTCTTACTTGCGATGCGCGTTTCCGACATGAGGGCATCACCAGCCAGTCATCTGTAGCCTGCGACGTTTGCGGTGCTCCTCGACCGCGCCGTGCGCTGCCGCTGCTGCTCGTCCGGGCTCCTAAACTTGCCAGTGTTGGGCCCGCTGCCACTGGAGGTGTCTGCCTCTGGTGTATCTGGACCGCGCCAGTGTTGGGCCCTCTGCCTCTGGACGCGTCTTCCTCTGACGTACCTGGACCGTGCCAGCGTTGGGCCCGCTGCCACTGGACGCGTCTGTCTCTGACGTACCTGGACCGTGCCGGTGTTGGGCCGGCTGCCAGCGGACGTGTCTGCCTCTGACGTACCTGGACCGTGCCGGTGTTGGGCCGGCTGCCAGCGGACGTGTCTGCCTCTGACGTACCTGAACCGTGCCGGTGTTGGGCCCGCTACCAGTGGACGTGTCTGCCTCTGACGTACCTGCACCGCGCCTGTATTCCGCCCGCTGCCACTGGACGCGTCTGCCTCTGACGTACCTGGACCGCGCCAGTGTTGGGTCCGCTGCCACTGGATACGTCTGCCTCTGACGTACCTGGACCGCGCCTGTATTAGGCCCGCTGCCACTGGAGTCTGCCTCTGACGTACCTGGACCGCGCCTGTATTAGGCCCGCTGCCACTGGAGTCTGCCTCTGACGTACCTGGACCGCGCCTCAGCCCTTCACGGCCGCCGCCTCCGCCGCCAGAACCGCAAGCTGAGCCGGCAGCTGATCTCGGGCGGCCAGGCCGGCCTCTCGCCGGACGAGATCCGCGACATCTGCCGGCAGCGCAAGGAGTTCTGGGAATACGTGCGCCGCCTGGGGCCAGGTCAGCCGGTGCCAGCATACTCCTTATCGATTTTGCCCGCATCAACGGTCCTCAACATAAAGCGCCAGTGTCTGGATTGGGGTGGACTCGCTGCACCTCCCTGCGCCTCGTTCGAATGCTCTGAGACGCGGGACGTTCTGCGCACTCGACCGCCTCGTGCACCGTTTGTTGAGGGCGTTGGCCGTCTCACACGGCCGTCGTGGTCCGCTGCGTTGTGCGACTGGAGGTTCGGCCGAGCTCGTCGTGCGC